ATATTACTCATTAACACAGAGCATCCATCAGTATGAGGACTGGATTTCACTACTGTATTGTTATTACTTTGTTGTTACGAATTACATTCCGTTCAGCAACACTTTTTAATAATATAGTACATTTTAATATTTGATTACTTTGATTAATGCAAGTATTAGTGTTTGATTTGCTTAGCAAACAGTATATTATGCCTTATGTTGAAAATAAGACTAATATGATCAGAATTAATCACGGCTGACTGAACTACTGTCCTTGTGTCTGAATGCAGGGTAAAAAAATTTGTCAGTAACACCACCTTATGACAAGGATCGAAGAACTTAGAAACAATATAATCGCTGGCTTTGATCAGTTGTTTTTGTGCTCTATTGTTGACAAAGACAAAGAGCAGTAGTTTTTATATAGCGCTTATATAGATTCAAGGACTCATTGCACACACTGGAAGGCCATTAGTGTCACCTTGTCGTGCATCCACGTGAGTACAGTCAGAAAAAAACTCATGAAAAACTCATCTATGAAGTATGAGACACTTGGCTTTACATTAAAGTGGCATTCAGTAGGTGGGGTTCTCTAAGAGTCTGAGTGTCTCAAGTGTGGGCAAAAATGATCATGGTTCACAGTAATTTCTATTGTGTGTAACTGTTTCCTCCATTTATCCATTTAGCCAAAAATGGCTCGTTACCAAAAGTAACGAGCCATTTTTGTAAATGTAAGGTGCAGAAAGTACAGATACTTGTCTAAAAATGTAGGGAATAAAAGTAAAAAGTTGTCACAAAAATACATATTCGACTAAAGTACAGATACCTGAAAATTTGACTTACCATCTCGGCTAACTACACATTTAAGATACACTTCACCAAAATAAAACCAGAATATCAAATCTAAATGTAAGCGTTTAATTTTATCTCTATACAGGTTACAGTTTGGAAGCTTGCTTGTTCTGCTATCTTTCTGTAATGGTTAATCCACCAGTATGTACAAGCTCTTTAATTGAAACGACTTTTTTATTTTTTCAAATTTTCTGTGTAATAAAGAAACAGGAAAAATAATAGTAGCCCATGCTCAAAGAAATGTGGATATAAACATCTTCAAATTAAAGCTGAATCTCATACCAGCAGTGCACTGGCATGTGACTTAACACAACATAAATGTGCCACTGTGCTAATCCCTCCTGACTGCACTGTGTAAACTGACCATCCTCAGGTCTGCCAGTATTGTAATGCCAGAGACAGATGACATAATACAAAGTGATTGCACATTGGTAAATCCAATTTAGGAACCAGAAACACTCAACCTTAATAACTGGTCAATAAGCAGTGTGTTACCGTCACTTCATGTTTCAGTGCTCAGGGACACTTCCCCTCTGTGTCACAGCATGGCAGCTGTGCACATTCAGTATTCCTCTCAATGAACTTTAACTTGTCTGACGCATTTATGTATGTGTGAGTGTCATGTGCCTATACTTAGCAATAAAACCAAGTTGCTCTTGTAGTTCGTCCTTACATTTACATGCTATGCTTTTATGCGATCTCACATGGAAGTAGGAGTTTTAAATGAAAAGTAAAACGCATCTTTGGTGTTAAAACCACTAGAGAAGAAGGCCGAACCCCGACATTTGCAGCTGGGTATGTAATTGTTGACTGAAATCAGAGCCTACTCATATACTGCTCATTATATTTAAACTGCACCCCAGATTCACCTCTGGTAAATCAGCCAGCAGTAATAGGAAGTAATCTCCAGTTTAGGATCAGCGGGCGAGCTTGGTTATGATCACCATTTAGGAAGTTCCTGCTGGGTGGGAGGGCCTAGTCAGGTAAGCTGCCATGGTGTTAAGAGAGTGCACACACAAGAAGAATTGTTTGCTCTTCCCTTCAGCTGTTGAGAGCCACACAAGCCTGAAGGAAGAGGGAAGAGTTTCACTGGGAGCAACATGAATTCTCAGGATGAACTTTCTCATGAGTGGGCGGACAGCCTCGACAAGGCCAGGGTCAATGATTGCACCCCAACGGGGAAAGAAAGAAACAGCTTGCGAGAATACGCGCACTGCCTGCCTCTGGGAGATGGTGATGACACCTTGGAGCCATCAGCCATCGACACCGCGCAGCTCTTTCCGCTCATGGAGACCAGGCTGTACAAACGGCGGTGGGTGATGCTCTTCATCTTCAGCGCCTACTCCATGAGCAACGCCTTCATGTGGCTGCAGTACGGCATCATCAGCAACATCTTCATGCGCTTCTACAGCATCGGCACCCTGGCCATTGACTGGCTCTCCATGATCTACTTTCTCACCTACATCCCTCTCATCCTACCCGTCATGTGGCTCCTCGACAATCGAGGCATCAGAGATGTTGTGGTGGTGGGGTCCGCCTACAACTGCATCGGGGCCTGGATCAAGACGGGCTCGGCGGACCCCAGCATGTTTGCTTTGACCTTCTTTGGACAGTTCGTGTGCTCGGTGGCCACGGTTTATATCCTGGGCATCCCTTCCAGACTTGCATCTCTGTGGTTCGGGCAGCAGGAAGTGTCCACCGCCTGTTCCATTGGGGTTCTGGGAAACCAGGTGTGTCTTTGTTTACCTGCTGGGTTAAAAAAAATGTGTGTATGGTGTTATTCACTTTTCTTCTTTAAAGTGGGCGAGAGTGAATGAGAGCTCTGTCATCTTTAACTCTTTGTGCAGTATATTAAAAAAATAGCATGTTTCTGTTAGGTCAAGCTATCTTGATTTGTGATTGAGTGTCTCTCCTCCTGTGGATTCTTCTTTCCAACCTTCTTCCAGAGTCCGCAGGTTTAACAAAGCCAGTCACCTTCTTTGCCACTGGTGAAAACTAATGGCTAGTAATCCCTTCAGAGTAAAGGTTCTTAAAGAAACGATGAACCCAGCATGCAGTACATGTTAGCATGCTGGATGCTGAACCATTTTAGTTCTATTAAAGTACTTCACATACCAGGCAAGCAGTATATGGGAAGTAGAAGGGCATGGTTTACATTACACTGAGCATTTTTACTGTTTAAACATTACTTGGATTACCAGTATCAAAATATGAAGTCATAAATTCTTCATTTTTAAATCTGCCGATAGAAACTAGAAGAAAATATATGATAGGGAACCATTGTCTGACAGAGACTTCCAAACTGTGAGGAGGGTAGAGGGAGAGAAGTGAACAGAGTATAGATCTTTCCAGTAAAAACAGGGATACCGGTATTGTCTAAGTGGTCAAAGTGACTTCCTCTGTGTCTGTATGTGTGTTTGGTTTGTTCTTTCTAGCCAGGGGAAAATTGCTGGGGATGGCGGGTGACTTCCACTGCTTGAGCTGCCTGCTTCTGTGCAAGTTTCCTCACCTTGGGTAAATTAACTATACAGTGAGATTGCACTAAGAATGCTGTGTGCATGGCAAGGTAGTCAGGTCTGCTGGGGCGGGTGTGTTTCACTGCTTTTGCTTTCCTTTTAAAAATCCTGAGAACGGCATTAGACAGACAAAATCATCTGAAAATTCCAAAAAAGGTCACAGGAAATGTCAACACGCATCAACTGAAATCTAATTTACCTTAAATTTACCCACGAAACATGGAGAGTGATAGTTTTATGCAATTTTAAGTCATATCTAAAGTAAAGAGAAAATAAACAGAGCAAATGTGGTGTACTTGGCTACATATCAGTGCTTTGTGATCTCTCCACAGTCTCTAACACTTTTCTCATCTTATTGACCGCTCTGAGCACGCTGTGGTGCCCTTTAACCTCCAAAGCTGAACCATGTCCTCTCCCTCCATCATTAGACCAAACACCGGCGCTTGTCATGAATGTTCTTGTTTTGTGCTTTAAACCCGCTCCCTGCCGATGAAGATGAAAAGGACGCGCTGCTGTCGATGTTTACTTGCTCACCATGGCTTAATTGCTTTGGCTGCGGTCCCTAACACTGGATGCTTCCAAGTTTTCAGGCTGAAGTCGTTTTATGTAATACCTTGGACATTTAGAAACAGTTCACATTAGCAAAAAATTAGGTTAGGGTTCCAGAAAAGCCTGTGACGCTTTGAAGATCAAACAGACATCAAACTTCAAGCGAGGTCACTGTAATTTGGAGCCAATGAACAATGAGCCTGTTTTGCATAGTTTTGACGAGGTTATAAAAAGTCTTTAGTTTGGTTCAAATGTGTGACTGTCTGCTGTGAATGTTTTCTAGAGCTTTTTCTAGTACACTGGCAACAAGGTAAACATTATAGCAAAGGTTCTAATCTGTCTGAAGGCTGTAGAAGGCAACAAGTGTAACAGTGGGTGTAACATTCTCAGACGACTGAAGGGATCGTACATATTTCTGTGTTTCCACTCGTCAAACACTTCACAGGTTTGTTACTCACAATCAGGAATGTGTCGCGTCACCTTTCCTTCTCTCACCTTTCCCCTAGAGTGGAGGGACCACCACCGGTGTCCCTTCTGGAATGTTCTTGTGACAGTAGGAAGCCGAGGATGTTGGCACTGCTGCTGTGGTATTCAAATTTGGAACGTTTACCCCCACTCCCTTCCCATTTACCCAAGATCCACTAGAAGTGTTGCTTTTCACTGAGGTTGGCTGGGGTTTTAAAAGTTAAATTTAGTGACATGTAATCTTCATGTCAGGCAGTTTACAAAAGAATGGTGACTTACGGTGTTACCTGTCTCTGTTAAACAAAAAACTACAGACGGGTTTATTTTGCCACAAATGGCAAATATGCATATATTTTATGTTTTATAATAAGAGGTGTACCATCACTCACACTGATTGCAGCAGTCAGTCAGATGCCAAACAGGCATTGACATTTTCTGCATCAATTACTTATTTCATTTTTTGTTTATGTTTTTGGGGTGTTTCTTGCTTTTTACAGGGCATCATATCAAAGTGCAAACTTTACCCTTCTTTATGTCTTCAGTGACGTGTTTTGCGTTATAGCTTTTTAAAAATTTGGACATATGTGTCTGTGCGCAGGCATCACATCAGTCCATAGTTAATTATGTGTCTCTCGCTTACAGTTGGGTATTGCCATTGGGTTCCTGGTTCCACCCATCCTCGTGCCTAACGTGGATGACATGGACGAGCTGGCACATCATATCAGTATCATGTTCTACATTAGCGCAGGCATGGCCACCGCCATCTTGGTCCTTGTGGTCATCGGTAAGTGTTTAAAGGGAAGATGAGTGTTTATACATGTCAGTTATGGCTGGAGCCTTTGTAGAACCATTTTGACCATTTCTGTTTGAAACCTAAAATCGTGTTGAAGAACCTGGAGAATTTTAAGGGGAAGAAAATAAGGAAAAGAACAGAAAATCTATGAGCACAGAATCATCAGTGAATTTTATGCATTGGTCTCCTGTAGACACTGACGCCACTGTTTGCAGCTTCCAGCCAGCATTGATGTGATCTTGTACCGCCCTTTCTGGCCTTGGAGACGCATGGATCCAAGTCTTGATTGAGCCTCACGTTTGTGTAAAAGAGCTAATGGGTTAGAGTCCTTGTCAGAGCTCTTTACTCACTCATGCAGCAATCGCCCACTGCAAGTCACCTTAAGTGTCACTCAGCGCCCACAGCTATTGGTGTGAAAATATATGAAGCAAAGCATCATCTTGACAATTTGTAGTTTCCAGTGTTACCTCACCTTGACTCCTTTGTCCACTAGAAGAATTACACTGCTGTTTTAAATGAGAACACAAAAGAGTCTTTGAAATCATCTTTGCTGCAAAGTTCTCGATATGAACATCCAGACTTGTGTATGGCAGAGCTTTACACAGAGATGTCTGCTCCTCAGCCAGCTCCGCTGGGAAACTGAGCCTGCCCGAGGTGTGCTTTCTAGCGAAAAACTCAACATCCCTTCAACTCCACCAGATGAGCAGCTGCGGTAATTGGTGTAATTGTCCACATTTTGATGAGATGAGTTTTGACACGACGTGAAATACAAGCAGGGGCTCAGGGAGTCATAGCAGAGTTTTATAAAATCACCCCCCCAGCTCTGTTAAATTCTCTCTTCACCTCCACCAAGGACTAAAAGTCAGAGAAAGTCAGAGAAACAGTGGTGGAGAACCAGTCCCTTGATTACTTGGATATGCTGACTAAATAACTCAAAGCAAATCCTTGGGACACAATCACCTGTGACTGTGACCTTTGAGGTCAAAGGTTTGTGATTCCAGCTTTTGCTGATTGTCGTGTCACGTGCGGAGAACATCTGTGTTTCACTTTACGTACTGCGCAGATATATCTGCTTGTCCCAATCAAGCAGGTTTTACTTATTTAAAAAAATATATAATCACATGTGAAGCACACACTGCCAATTCTAACTACACATAATGTATATTTATGCTGTCAGGAACATGCATCATATTTGGTAACTCACTAAACTCAATAGTGAAAGATTAAATGCAATAACAATACAGAAAGTGTTACGGAATCAATAAATAGAAGAAATACTGAAAATGTCAACCTGTTATTCAATAAAACCTGTTAATCTACGACTTATGATAGGAGGAGAAAAGTAATAACAATAGCCACCTATATTTGGTTAAATTTGGTGGCTGACTTGATGTCCAGGGGGCAGGTCAGATGTCACCCGCTGTGTTAGACACTTACCTGCATTTTCTTAGAAAGGCTCAGTCGAGCATCACATGGACCTTGTACTGGAGAGCTGGCAGGTTAAAGATTATTCCAAATTCTCACATGTAACTCTGTTGGACAATGTCTAAAGATGTTCAGGGCTGCTGTACGTGTGTTAAAACCTGCTTCGGAGACTGATATCTTATCTTTATAAGCATTTTTACTCATGTTTGGAGTCCACTTTTGCTCTTACCTCAGCATCACACTGAACTTTGCTCTTTGCCCCAGTCCGGTGTTTTTCCGGTGCTGTCCTACTAAATCTTATATCTTAAAAACTAAAGTAACCTCCAGAAATGCTGCGTTTGTTTGTGTTGCTTTTCAGTGTTTCAGGAGAAACCTGAGATCCCACCCAGCCAGGCCCAGGCACAGGCCAGGAACATGCAGCCTGATGAGTACTCCTACACAGCCTCCATCTTGAGTCTGCTGCGCAACAAGCCCTTCATGCTCCTGGTGGTCAGCTATGGTGGGTTCCTCCCTCTTACCCGTACTAAACATGCAAACTGTAGCAGTCAGCCCCACCATTTCTAGGACTAAACTTTTACCCTGGCAAGAGTTAAGGATACTGTGCATTATGGTCTATGTAACTCTCGTTCACAGTCCTTATCGGCCTCTGAGCACATATATGAGCGAGTCATTAAAACGAATAGAGTTTGTGTAGCACTGATCTGATTGTTTTTGGTGATAGCATTTTTTGGCTCAAAGGTCACTAATTAGTGACAACATAGGAAAGACAGACCAAAGTTGTTCATGTTAAAGGGCTGTTTGAGTGTGTTAGCAGCTGTTTCTCAGACTATAGACTTCTTGCTTTCTTTCTAATCCTTTTAAAATCCATTTCCTCTCCTCCATCTTTAGTTTTTGCCAATTGTCTACCTTCAGTTATTATAAGAAGAATCCTGTGCTGAGTTTCACAAGGCAGTTGTTTTACTAATACCCACACACACACATTTATTGATTCACGTGTAGTCAGTTGGAATGCTAACATGATAAGCTGCTGGGAAACAGAAATGTTCATCTTTCAGTTTAAAGCTTTCAAAAAAGGAGAAAGTTTTTGAGTAGGGGGAGTATACACCCTAAAAATGCCCAAATAATCTGATTATAATGTCTCTTATATTGTGTGAAGCTCTCAAGAGTTTTTAGGTAGAAGCACCAGGACCCATCTGGTCCCCACATGAGACCACCTTTCTGTGCAGATTGTCTCAGAATAAACTGTTTTCTGTTTGTGGTCTACAGGCTTGAATGTTGGCTGCTTCTATGCTATTTCCACACTGTTGAACCGGATGATCATTGAGCACTATCCTGTAAGTCCCTATTATAGCCTTTTTTTTTTCATGTTTGTCAACTTTATATTTTCTGTCTTACCTTCTCTAGTCTTCCTTGTGGCTTATGCTCAGATTGAATAGGCCCAGCAGGTAGACACTGTCTGACCGCATTTAACACTGAGCTATAAAGCATCCAAAGATATGGTCCTGACACAGATAACAGGAGTATGATTGTTACGGCTCAGTGCTTCTAGGAAATGACTGCATATTGTGACTTCACAGGTGCAAATGCCAACATTTTCTCTTTCAGGGTGAAGAGGTGAATGCTGGGAGAATCGGTCTGACCATTGTCATTGCTGGCATGGCGGGCTCTCTCATATGTGGCATATGGCTGGACAAGACCAAAACCTACAAGTAGTGTATTTCTTTTAAACCCCGTTTTTCAGTGATGTGGACTAAGATCAAACACAGAGCTGTGTTTTCTAACAAGAACCTACATTTGAGTCAAATCCTAAATATACACCATGTCCATCAGAACATGGCTACACTGTGATCATAAAAGGCTGAGTATAAAATGAACTTCACACCATTGCACCATCAACAGCTTAAACCATTGATACAAGGCAAGATGAATACATGATTTCATGTTATTTATTTTAACTTTTGACCCTACCATCCGAATGTCACAGCAGAGATTGAGAGTCATCTGACCAGGCGACACTTTTACAGTCTTCTATTGTCCAATGGTGGTGAGCCCATGTAGTTTAAGATTCCTGCCGTTAGCTGAAGGGAGTGGTAAACCATGGCATTCAAATAAACTAATGTCATTGTTTTCTACAGTCAGATTCTGATGGAGCTTCATGTGCACATGTAAAAAGATGCTCTTCTGAAAGGCAATGTAATTTTCAGTCCTCAGGATCAGCATTCTCACTTCTTCTCTGCAATGTTAGCTGTACTTTAAAACATCGACTCCTTGCATGAATGTCCTTTAAGTCACTCATCCATTCACAGAGAGATGTCCAAGTGAATTAGACCATTTGATTAAAAGAGGCACGTATTAGGATACAACATAGCCGAGTTTTCTGCGTGGTGTTGCTCTCTGCTTATCTGAACTGGCAGGCTGTACTTTACTGGTACTTCAAAGTAGCTTCTCAAGCCTTTTGCCACTGCATATGATGGAAAAACAGTAATCATACATTACTTCTTTCTACAAAATGACCACTTGCTTTATTCTGCAAGTTAGTGATTTAGTGTTGATAAACTGCCTTCATTAATGTGGCATAAAAATGTTTATGATTAGAGGAAGATCCTCAGTCCACAGATTCCTCACATGCCATTAGGATGGTTATCTGTCAGAGCAGTTAAGCCCAGATTTAGAATGTGGATCCAGAGTGAGCCGGAGGACTGTGCAATATTAACAAAAATGTTTTGCTGCTTGTTTTACGCGTGGTTGTACAAGAAGCAGCTTCAACAGAGTGAATTTGTTTTTGCAGATTGGCGTTGTTGTGACAAGTCGTTGGTGACACAAAATAATGGCATTCATTTTTTTGGGGGGGTTGAACATTATCGCTTGCGTTAGTCCTTATTGTGCCCGTCATAACATGTGCTATGATACATGGCTTAATGTCTTAAACTTTATTGTTATGCTCCTGTCTCCACAGACAGACCACCTTGGCCGTGTATATCCTTTCTCTAACTGGGATGCTGGCCTACACCTTCACCCTCAACTTGGGTCACCTGTGGGTGGTGTTCGTTACAGCTGGAGTTTTAGGGTAGGTAACCATTAAAGAATATGGTAAATGGCCTGTATTTATATAGCGCTTTACTAGTCCCTAAGGACCCCAAAGCGCTTTACACATCCAGTCATCCACACATTCACACACTGGTGATGGCAGCTACACTGTAGCCACAGCCACCCTGGGGCGCACTGACAGAGGCGAGGCTGCCGGACACTGGCGCCACCGGGCCCTCTGACCACCACCAGTAGGCAACGGGTGAAGTGTCTTGCCCAAGGACACAACGACCGAGACTGTCTAAGCCAGGGCTCGAACCGGCAACCTTCCGATTACAAGGCGAACTCCCAACTCTTGAGCCACGATCGCCCCGATGGTGTTTATGGCCACCATGGCCATAAACATCACAGTAGGCTCTAGCAGCCAACAGGTAACAGAGCTGTGAATGATCTCTTATATTCTGTCATGCAAATGTGATGGAGGAAAAAAAAGATGTTTCTCATACTTTTATTTATTTAAAGAAAACATTTCGGCAAGCGTCAGCAAAGTGAGAAATGCTGAGGGGCTGCCAGCTGTTTCTGAAGCTAAAGGGTTTCCGTGGAGCTGGAAATCCATTTATTGGAAGTGTTTAGAAAACTGCTTAGCTAAACAGAAGCTTTATTGGCCCACGCGGGTTGGCATAGCATTGACACTAGTTTTAACCTCGGGGTAATGTTGAATCATATTGGTCACGTTTAGAGTCCCGCTCGAAACTGATGAAGCTCTGTGTTGTTCAGTTTCTTTGTAGCAGGAATGCTGCTTTTTGAGCAAAACTTAGTGTTCCACAGTCCACAGGCTTTGTCAATAATTGCTATTTATGGTAAGCTGATTATGCCCATATCTGGTTTCCATAGCAATTCCTTTGTCTGCTTTTCACCCAGAGAGGATGTATTAAACCTCAATATACTTGTCCTACTTTTACATTTGTGGAGCATTTTTTCTGCTGGTTTTTGGACAGTTAAAAATAGTTGAGTCACAAAATTCTATGGTGAACAGATCAGACACTTGGTTTTATATTTTAGTTCACCTATATTTTCTGTCTTTCTCCAGTTTCTTTATGACAGGATACCTGCCTCTGGGTTTCGAGTATGCAGTAGAGCTCACCTACCCAGAATCGGAGGGGACCTCGTCCGGACTGCTTAACTGTTCAGCTCAGGTCGGTAACGTTCAGCACGTATGACTGCAGAGAACAAACAAATAACATATCATAACATGTCATGTTGTTTGGGCCTTTAAAGAGCTTCTCACTCTCATTTCAGATCTTTGGAATCATTTTCACCATAGCTCAGGGAAAGATCATGGATTACTGGGGAACTTTAGCTGGCAACATATTCTTGTGCATCTTTCTGCTAATAGGAACAGTGGTGACAGGTGAGATGTTAACCTCATCTCTGTAGATATGGGCTGTTTTCTTTCCCATGTCTGTGTGTGATACTCAGACCAACTTATGTGAAACCATTTTGTGTAATACTTGGACTTGCAAAGACTCGTCTCTTTCATAGGCGTATGCTGCCTCCTAGTGGCTAAATTACTTTTCACACTATATTAAAGTTGTAGTTAAAGAGGACCAAAAATACCTATTTTTTAGCGCTACATTTTTATCGTTGCTCTCTACTAGAGTAGCTTTGCATGATTCACAGCTAAAAATAACTCATATGCCTCATTGTAAGCCTTGGTGCGGCCTACTCCGAGTCTGAAACAATCTGACCCTTCCTTTTAAGTCAGCTTTTTTCTGTTTATGTGCTCTGCATGCCTAAAGTGACAAAGGTAAGGATATACACTGTCACTGACATCATACAGAGCTAAGAGCAGAAACCACATGTTTAGAGGCGTCTGCAGCAGGAGGTTTTGTCTTGTTGGAAATTCCTCTAAATGCACTGAACTTATTTGAATAGTAGGTCTTTTTTCCTTAAGACCTTTTTGTTATGTTCTGACATGTAAAACCTTAATGGCAGGAGTACCTTCTTTTTACCACAACCATGCTTGTTAAGTAACTTTGCCTACAAACGCAGGCAAAGTTACTTAAATTCCAGGATCTGGTTAATTACAATACATCCATAATTTTGTATAAAGCTTTTACTAAACTTTTACCGGCAAATTTACAAACTAGATTTGAAATTCGAGAAAAGGTTTATAATGTGAGAGGCTTTGGAGAATTCAAATTACCCAGAACTCGAACAACCCGTAAAGGCTTTTGTGTGTCTGTATGTGGTGTGAAAATCTGGAACAGTCTGAGTTTACAATTGAAACAATGCAAAAATATTCATAGATTTAAATTTCTCTACAAACAGTTGGTCTGGTCACAGTATACTCAATGATGGGTTTTAGTGTGCTCTGTAATGTCTGTCCTCTTACCATTGCTGGTATGGATTCCAAAATAAAAAATAAAAAATAAAGTGTGCGTATGTATGTACATATATGTACTTGTGTGTGTAGATATATATGTATGTATATGTATGTGTGTCTGTTACTTGTAGTTATTACTGCCTGTTACCTGTGGTAATGCAATTTATAATTTATATATTCTGTATTCAGTTATGAAGGCTCTAATTGTTGGTTGCGAGCTGCCGCTTAGATGCTTGTATCTGCCCGGGGCTGTTGATGGGTCTGTATGCAATGATGGGCGTAGCTGCGGGAAGTTTATTGTTTTTTTTTGGTGATGAGTGAGTATAGGGGTGGGATTTAATAAGTTTTCTTCGTCCCACTCCTTTTTCAGGCAAGTTTTGTTTTTTGTTTTGTGTATTTTATGTTCAATATAGGTATTTGTTGTGCCTGAAAATGAATTTAAAAAAAAAAAAAAAAAAAAAAAAAGGTCTTACTGTCTAACTGTGCATATCCTTCGATATCCTTCCTCCATCCTCTCTGAGTTGTCACAGGAAGGGGGATATCTTTGATTCAATAATCTCTGAGCACCAAAGGATATTCTGCATGCTGACCCAGAAAATTAGTTTTGAAGAAAACATGTTATATAAAATACAAGAAGATAACATGGGAGTAGCAATTTTAAAACTTCCACACCAGTATGCTGTTCTATTTAAATGTAACTTTATTTTGCACAAAATTAATCATCAGTAATTTAATGTGTTTCATAATATTATTATTATTATTGCAGGATTTATCAAATCCGACCTCCGACGGCAGAAGGCCAACCAACAGGTTGAGGTGCAGACAGTGAGTGTAAGTACGACTGTGTGTGTTACATGAAGTTAGAGGTGGGATGTGTGTTAGAGCCCACCCTGGCTCTGGATTGAATGCGCTCTGAGTGGTTTTCTGCTGGTGGCTTCTCTGCAGTCACTTACATTGCAGTCTGCTGCGGCAGGCTTGGATGCAAAGCGAATGCAGGCGGTCGTCCCGCTGCCCTGGTTGCAGCTTTCTCCGCAAGCTGCTAAAAATGTCGTTTTCTCTCAGCTATGCTTCGTCTAACAGCTCTCTGGCTCGCTCTCATTAAAAACACGTTTGCTTATTCTTTGCTTTGAAAAGCGTTGCTTTGGTTTAATGCTTACAACGGGTGCAGTTGAGAGCTGTCAAATAAATATTTTCAGCTAAAAAAACTTATATTAAAACCAAGTATTAAAACTAAATATGTGGTGACTTTTGTAACTTCGGAGATGTTCATGCTCACCTGTCGCCTTGCTTTACGTCAGGCTCGGGACCTCTTGCTTTCTTTCTTTGGCCTTTTTGTCCTTCTGATATTCCAGTTTTAACACTACAAACGCAGCTTAAACACCAGTAATCCTGCACACCAGTGGAAGTCAAAGTGATAGTAGTGCAGTAGATTTAAAAAAGAAAAGAAAAGAAAAAAGAACAAGAGATGTATCTAAATAATAAACAAAGCAGAACTAACGATACATGCAGTTTCCTGATCAAAGGCTGTGGTATAGCTGGGTGTGCAGGTGTCTCTGGATGCACTGGTGGTGTGTTATGAATGAGAAGGTGGAAGATGAGGGGGACCCCTTAGGGCCCCTCAGAGGTGTGACCCCAAAGCTATCATTCCAGCCTGCAGGCTCCCTGTCATCGGTGCAGGACTACGGGGCCACGTCGTGCGGCAGCCCCTGGCAACGGCAGTCTTGACATTAACCCACAAGCTCACAAACACCAAAACACACACCTGCCAAGGTAGGGTGAAAAAAGGGTTTTAACGATTGTGCACACAATCATGTTTGCATTTACTTGAAGGTGTTACCGGTTAAACTGCAGCGTATTGTACTCGACTGCACAACCAGCCCTTTAAATCGCACAAACAGACTCGGTGTCATTGTGGAATTAAACGTTTATCCGGTGATTGCAACTCATCTGAAGTTCATTGTGAAAAGACACGTGATGAGGTGTACTGAATGTGAAGAGATGTTTGTTGCTGATATAATATTGATGTTGAACTCTGCTGCCACTTCACTCATTTTACTGCATCACGTCTGTCCTTTGCAGACAATTACTGCTGATCTGGAAAGAGGAATCTCTCCACCTGAAATCTTGAAAGAGGTGAGGTTGTGAGGAAGACAGATATTTCTCTGTCCAAGATCTCAGAATATCACCGTGTACAGATTAAAAACAAATAAGACACATTAAAAAACAACAACAAAAACTGACATATCGAGACGCACAATCATGCACAAACGACTGAGGAGCTGAAAGCTGTGAACTGTAAGAACATGGAGGCTGAATCACAGAGAACAGTGTTGCTTTACGGAGTTCTGTTTGGACTCTGTGATGCAGAAATCCACATTGGTATTACACCCCAAACCACCATGGGGGAATGCACTTTCAAGGTTTTTACATCATGGGATGATGGCATTTTACATGTCTTGTTAGGTGTAATGTATCTGCCACTTTAGTGACTCCAACCTTCAATCTAACTGAATGCCTTTCCTAGTTTTCTTCTGACCGGTGTTAATGTAGTGTTTTATGCATTTGACTGGCAATATTGAAAGTTTTCTAATATATGACCAACATTGTGTGTAATTGAACTCTCTCTTTACATTGATGAAGGTGTCTCATGTTAGTGTTCTGTGTTTAGAATATGTGTATTCAATGCAGATTAAGGACTACGACGTGTTTACCTGTCAGGCAGCCAAGTCACCTTTCGCCTAATTGAGGCTTTCGTATCTGTCGTCTGCCGTTCAGGATGACAGTATTACTTGTGAATACTGCTGATGCAATGTATCTGAGTTCGCTTTGGGGGGGGCGGTCAATATTGGCCCCATTTTACTGTGATTGACTTCTTTAAAAAGACACAAGAGGCGAGAATGTCCGGAACGTAAAGGATGTCAGCACAGCGGAAAATAAGAACAACACAATGGGAGATTGCGACTAATCAGATCTACTGCCCTTGTCATTTTGCACACTTTTTATGTGTACTTTTTACTTTTGGTACTGTAGAATTATACAAACAGGCGACAAATCGAAGGGAAATCCATCAGAAATATGTCTTGGGTGTTGGGCCAATACATGCCAGAGTCGGAGTAATGCAGCTCAGTTCTTGTGGAAAATATTACCTAATTTTGTGTGAATAATTGTAGTGGCAAGCAAACATAAGATGGCCAAAATCTCCTCTTTATGGTCAATGTGGTTAAATTCTGATGACTTTAAAGGCTTAACACATCTTATTTTTTATAGTCATTAAGTGTCCCAAGTGTCCAACAGATGTGGCCTGATCTGAGCACCACTTTGCACAGTTGTGCACCGATCCTGAGTGGACCTAAACAGTGCCAATCAAATGCCCTCCACCTGTTAGAGCCCAGGGTCAAAGGCTCAAGTGGTTTAGTGTTTTCCTTCGTTTTGTTGCCTGTGTGTATTTTATGCTGTGTAACCAGTAGTTGTACAAATTTTTACTTCAGGTATTTTTAGGAAGTTGTCTCGAAATGTTGATATTTAATTAGGACTTTTATGTGTCTGTGAGAGGTTCTAGTTAATCTTAGTCTTAGGCACTTTAAAGTGCTGTGAATTTTCCACACCCTTAGAGTTTTTGTTATTTTGGCATGATGTGTAGTTGATCCAGTCAATAAGGAAAAAATGAAACTGCAATACAAACTATGGGATTTTGAACACTGTACCAAAAACAGAAACTAAATTAAGAACAAATCTATATATTTATAGATAAATAAGCCCTAGCTAAATGTGTCTGTGTATTTTTGTATTTCACCACAATGTGGCCATGTTTAAATCAGGAGATTTATGCTTTCTTTAACCCAAATATGAGAACAGAACAAAACTGGGATTTCAGTCTTTAGCACAAACCGTGCAAAAACACAATTACACCTTGAAGGACACTTCAAACAAAGGACTACAAGACTACAAAATACTATTGCCACAATTATTACAGCAATAAAAAGCATAAAAAATCAAGATATTTTTAAAAATTAAGTTTTATACAAAGTTATTTGTGCATAAATTTCCAGGATGTACAAATCTTTCACAGCACACAACAAACATCAAACCAACCTCTGCTGTATGATTTTTCTAATGAGGTGCGTGGTTTTCTTCTGCGTAGCCTTCCGACATCTTTGATACATCTGGGCTTGCTTTGATTGAAAGACTAAAAAACTGTACTTTCTATGCTCTGGTGCAATAAAACAATCATGGTGACGAGAAAATGTGTACTGTGGTTCTGTTTCTACGGTCAGTCAGCGGCACCATAGCAAAACCGAGACTGAGAAAGAATACGCTATCTGTGCTGTTAAGACAACATAAAACTCCAGATATTGCTCTTTTAAATATGAAATTATTACAAATTCTAAAGCAGCACACATTGACCACTGTATTGTAAGATATACACCAATCGATCACAACATTAAAACCACCTGCCTAATCTGCTGTGTTCCTCTTGTGCTGCTAAAACAGCTCTGATTCCTCATGAAGGCAGGGTCTTTGAGGATGTGCTGATTGGGAGCATGACAGCAGCAGTTGTCCCCAAAGATCAGCCTTGCTGGGGCACATCCTACAAAGGCTCATTTGGATTAGGGACTACTAGCGTCTTCCTGTGTTTGAGCACATCATCAACTGCAGTCGTGGACCAGGAATCCCAGGTCCCGACGTTTCCCAGCAGAATATTGCAGTTTCACAAGATAATGTTATTTATTTGACCTGTGAGGGGTTTTAATGTCATGGCTGATCTGTGTAAATGTAAATAATGTCACAGTAGAAAGTGAATTTACATCAGTATATCCTGTTCTTCAAGGCAAGAAGCAGCACACGAGGACCAGTTCACAGAAGGCTGGTGGAGGTGGATTCAGTTCAACAACAGGAAACTCCAGATTGCTGGGACTCAGTTATGCTTTTTCTGTCGCGCTCCAACTTCCTCCTGTGTTTCTGGAAAACACTGGAATCCAATGAGCATTCCTATGATGGAAAAACCTGCAAAAACACAGTGATGTACTTTTAACTGTGTATTCCAGTGTGTTGTGATTTAACTTAAGACGTCCTGATGGGGAGTCCAACAGAGGTTATTATCACTATTATTCATTACTCACTAGCCACAATGAGAGGGGCCATGACTCCGATAGTCAGCGGTGCAGTTTTATAGATAAAAGCCTCAGATAGGAAGTGGCCCAATGCCAGGACAAACGTCCATAAGGTGATGTGATACAGCCTGCAAGAGCCAGGGTTACACAGTGAATAGACTTCCACCAGAAATGAGTTTTTATGGTGCAGGAAACAACACGATGGCTTACGTTCTATTCTGGATATCAATGGCACAGGCACAGCGAATGATCGATGACAGCAGCGTCCAAATACCAAAGGTTCGAGCTTGGAGACCATTTACTGAGAAATTAAATAAATACAGATACAATATATTATGATAGAGAGCATCCATTATTAGTTGAGAACAATGCAGGAGGGTTTCTTGGAGCATTTCTTTCTTTCTTTTTTTTTAACCTTTTGAGCAGGTTTAGCTGAGGACATTGATTTATTATCTAATTCTAAGATCCTATACACTAACCAGACACTTTATTAGTTACACCATGCTTGTACCAGGTTGGACCTTGTTACGTTTTCAGAACTGCCGTAATTCTTTCACAGCATCCCAAACGTGTTTTATTGGATTGACTTCTGGTGACTACAGAGGCCATTTGAGCTCAGTGAACTCACTGACATGTTTGAGACCAGTTTGAGATGATCTGAACATATCCAGTAGATGGGTACACTTATGTAATCATGGCCACAACAATACTCAGTCAGGTCGTGGAATTTAGCACTCAGTTAGTGCTAAGGGGCTCAGAGTGTCCCCCCCAAAATACCCCACATCATTACACCATCGCCACAAGCCTGAAAATTTGGATTTTGGATGGATTTATACTTTGATGTTGTTTTACAACAAATTCTGACCCTATCATTTGAATGTCAAAGTAGAAAATGAGACCACCAAACATTTTTCTGGTCTTCAGTTGTCCATTTTAGCTGATCCCTTGTTACCTCAGTTTCCTGTTCTTAGCTGGCAGTGGTAGCATCTGCTGCAGTCTTTTGCTGCTTCAAGGGTCCACATATTGTACTGAGTTGTTGCCACATGTTTAGGTGGTGAGATAGCAGTTGAACAGGTATACCTAATAAAGCGTCCAGTGAACGTAGAGCGGTGTCTGGTTTGTTATGCCACCTGTAAGTGCATTTTTCTGGAAATGTGCCGCAGTACAGAAGTTTTCTGCAATACTACTTACTATGGTGAAGATTATAAAAAAACAACATTTTAATGCCCTAAATTACTATGGTTTATTCAAGTTTTTAATACAAAGTAAGAAAAGAAATTCAATATTGTGATTGCACAGGATTAGAATTATTGTTGCAGTCCAGATCAATGGGAATAACAGCAGCTAACAGCAGCTTATAAAAGGCAACATAATACTACAAAGGCTACAAGGGCTAATAATTATTATAAATGAATGCTTTCAAACTAAGTATATATTTTCCAATCTAAAGTGAAGTCTTGCTAATAACTACTACTATTGGTTTGGCTCCTATTAGGGAGAAATGGCCTTGTATATTCTGATTATGATTAATAAAACATTTATACGTGCTCTATATAGACTCTGCACGCCAGTGATATGCAGGCTAATAGGTAATTAGTTGATGATCATCACGTGCATTTTAACATAAAGTGTTGCTTGGTATTCGAAGCGTGTGGTGTTTGCCTAATTTATACTAATACTAGAGTCACAAACTAATAATCACGTTACTTTTAAGGTTGTCAGGTTGCACATTCCACTTCTGTCAGAAAACAAAATCCAGTTTTCTCACCAAACTCTGGCATGCCTGTGTAGAGCTTTTCGGACAGAAAACTGTGATCTCTGAAACTCTGCACGGTGTTTCCCATCGCGATGACGGACACCATCACCAGCCAGCTCCGCAGGACGTTCAGAAAGCGACTCATCTCTTCTGTGTGGAAGAAGCACCTATCAGAGAGGAAAACTGCCGGTTCACTGCAGGACACACCACTCCGAACTACAGGTCAGTACAAACCCCGGTTATATAACATTAGCATTGGACGGAAGAATAGATGTATTTCTATTTCATGTCTAACATAAGACATTAGCTGGCAATACATCAGTAACTCATATGACATAACAAGCTAACCCTGGATTAAGCAGGTTTATACAATTAGCTAGCCTATTATACTTTAAAACATCACGAGTACGTCATGTATTTACCTGACTGCGCCTGTCAAACTATCATATTCCCGACAAAACAGGAGTATACTGGCGCTAGAAAAAGTGGGACTGAAGCCAACCGAGTGGCGAGTCTTTCAATCTTGGCTCGTGGGGTTAACCAATAAGAGCGCTTAAAATGGCTCCTGTTAATCGTACCATGATTGTGATTGGTGATTTCAGGCGTTAGGGTTCCGCCTATTTCCCCCTCTAACCAATCTACATATAGCAATCCTGTCGCGTGTGGACAGTGCTAGACTGCGTCCAAACAAAGAGTAGCTGTAGAGCAAGAGAATTATGCAGGTGACGTGCCTCTACGAGCAAGGCTTGCCACTTGGCAGCCACCTTTGTAACGTTTCCGAGCACTTATTCCGAATCTAAATCCCAATTAATTATATTATTAGGTAATTGTGAACATGAAAAACTGCATCTATAGAAAGACCTATGAAATAATGCAAAAGACGTTCGAATTTTGACTCAACTAATCTACGACTAAACACGGTCTAAAATACGATTTTAACAAGCATTTATCCACTGGAAGTATATATACATTCTCTCACAATCTTAATTCAATACTCTTTGAAAGCCATGCATTTCTTTTATATAAAAATAGATGTAGATTTGAGGGGTCCCAGTATTTTGGAAAATGCTTTAAAAAAGTTATAAAATATTATAAATGTTATTAAACATTAAGGCACACCAGCTCACTGTGCAGCAACTGAAGCAACACAACAATATCAAAATATAAAGAACATATGAAGGAAATCGCTCTTTGTAATATTTCTATTGAAATGTTTTTGCCTTTTTATTTTAAATGTACGGGCAGTTCAAAGTTTCGTCACGTGGATCAATATTGTCGCGCGCATGCGCCTTTCTCTGTTGCTATCCACTTGTTGTAGTTACAGGAAGATTAACGGCGATTGCTGGACTTGGCGATACCAACTAGCTTACTGTTAGCAGCCTCCACAGAAATTCAAGGCAAGTTTTTGTGGTCCGGGTATAGTGGTTAACTCATTTGCCTTGCATGTGAAAGGTTCCCGGTTCGTTTCCGGGAGGAAACAAACCCACCCTCAGAGTGTTATAAGCTAATGTACTCTCAAGTGCTGGTCCCAGCCCAAAGGAAGGGCATCCGCGCGTAATAGTCAAAATACGCGGATCTATTTGCTGTGGCGATCCCTTGGGAAATAAGCGAGCAGGCGAAAGTACCTTCTTTCTGTTGCTGTATGTATTTGTACTTCATTATAAAAACCTCAGTGGTGTCAAATTAAGCAGACTTTGCGTAGTTGACAACGCGTGCAGGCATAAAAGTAACGCTTTATTTAGCAGTTTGGTTTTGTCTTAACCATAGACTGTCTATAACGTGTTAAGATGATTTCACTGCCACAGCAGGCAGACTTAGAAAGCAGCAGCGGTTCTCAGGTGAGAGCATGCTAACTGTAAATCACTGTAGGACGCTGTTAGTGTTGCAGTCTTCGTGTTAAGCTGTCGTGGAGCAGAGTGTTATTAATACATCGGCGTTTTTATGAGATCATCTTAGAAGTGACTGTTGTGTTTGCCCTTGGATGTTGCAGATGCCAGGGTAAACACTAGATACCGGTACTTGGTCCCACGAAGATTTCTCCGGGCAGATCGTACCCCCCTTTGCAGTGAAAATGCCAGCCGTGATCCGTGATAAAGAGGACTCTGAATCCTCCTCAGAAGACGAGCAAGAGTAAGTACAAGTTAGCAGTTCATATTAATATGTCTGCTGCAGAATAAAGGACAGCCTGTGATCTAAACAGAGTCAAGGTCAGAGGTTATAGAAGCACCTGGGATTATCTGCTTTATATCACAAATAAAACAAGCTGCCTCAAATCTGTCTTTTCTCATTTAAAGAAAAAAGCAACAACTCTCTCAATCAATGCTATTGGTGCCTTTGTTTTGAGTATTTTGTCCTTCAAGAGGAGCTACTGTTGCTTGTTTGCAGACACACTGGAGAAGAGTAGGATATTGCTCACAGTCCCTGCAATCCCTGTGGGACTTGGCAAGTCAGTTAACTTCTTAGCCTACTGATCCTCTTGGCATACTGCATAAGATTTCCAAATAATACATCTTGTAATATGACATTATGGTGAACTAAAAGCATTGTTCATTTTCTCTCTCATTGCAAGTTACCAAATCAATTTAAGGTGAAATGTAATCGGTGAGGGATTACAGAAGATGTCCTGAGCTCTGTTTAATCATTTATGTCAAGATACATGCAAACAAAATGACACCTTCAGGTGTCTTTCATTCTGTATAATTGATGACTGTCATTTAGACAAATGAGTATATATCCCTCTGCTGTGGATGCACCAGCTGGTCTTTGCTTTCTTGTCTCGGTCTAATAATTCCCTCTTAAGCCGTGCTTAGTCATACCTTTCTGGGTTCCTCTGTATCTGCTTTTAGGCTCCATCTCCTAAATTAGTTTGGATTGCTTAGAGTTAGCATTTAACCTTCAGGCTACCAACGCTGCATTTATTGACATGGCAGTAATTATACATTGAGATGCTACAACATGGTTGTTCAAAAATATCTACCCCATAAACACATCTCAGTTCCATTGCAAGAGTAATATTGCAGTAGTTTTTTTTAAACAACTGCTGTCTGCAATTTTTTACTTGCACACAAAAAGTCTTGACACCATGAAAGAAGTGTTGACCTTCCTCAAAAACACAAAAGGAAAGTCACCATGACTGTGATAAAAGGACAGTACTGTTTTGGTGCGAAAATGAGAAATAGGTGCCGCGGTTTACTGAAACAGCAAACACACAAGGTAATATAGTATATAAAGCAAAAACAAAGTTTTTACAATTCTAAAGAGCTTGAAAGTCATATTTTGTTTGACCGCCTTTATTCTTCAGCACAGCCTGAACTCTCTTGGGCAAGTTCCGGGCATCTTGAAGGACTTTCAAAGCTCTTCTTTGGATGCCTTCTGTTCTGTTCTCTGTCAAGATGATCCCACACTGCTTCAATAATGTTGAGGTCCAGGCTCTGGTGAGACTGATAGTGTTCCACTGTGGGTTTTTTAATCCAGGTATACTTGTACTGCCTTGGCATTGTATGCGGAATCATTGTCATGCTTAAAAATGAAACTGTTTGCAATGAGATGCTTTTCAGATAGTGTTGCATTGTAGAAGAAAATGTGAAACCACTTTTCTTTGTTTATAATTATATAAATAATCCACAACATCACTGGCTGAAATGTAGCCCCAAACCCTGACAGAGCCTTCAGTGTGTTTTACAGATGGCTAAAGACAAATTCTGGATTCACCACTCCGTAAGGCCTGTTGCTGTGCAGTTCTTTTGAATTTTGGCATTTTTCTGTCCTTTCTCCCTGTTTCTCTTCCTTAAGACTGGCTTTTTGACAGCCACCCTTCCACTTAAACCATTGCTAATGAGGGCTTGGTTTAGAGTAGCAGATCAACTGAAGAGCCAGATGCATCTCTCAGGTCGTGTGTCAGATTTGTACTTGTCCTATTCCTTAATGAACATTTCATCTGCTGTAGATAGTTTTTTTTAGACCTGCCACATCTTTTTCTTCTTTAACTTGTCCAGTTTCCCTTTTAAGGACACACTGCGCATCTCGCTACACAAACAGTTCAGCTAATAGCTCTTTGGAAACAACACTGGTTCACGCCTTGAGTTTGGTGCCTTTTAATGCTTGCTTGTATTATAGTGAGCAAAATGCAAAGAAATTGTGTACCAGTTTTTCTTAAGTTCAATTTAAAATGGACAAAATAACAGGAGTATGCACAGTTTCACTTCTGGTAAGTAAGGTTGCACTCTTTGCCTTAATTACAGTGTATGCGGACCTTCATGCCACATGGGATGGCTACATGGTATAACATTACAGGCTGTCACAAAAGATGCACAGCACACATAAAGGCGAAACCATCCATTGGAAACCTACCATGGCAGAAACACAAGTCTACAGCACAGGCCTTTATTTCAACGTTTTGTTGAATTTAATAAAAACAGAAAAATCATAATCATGAGAATAAATGTTTTACAAAATGCACCCTGCACATGCTGATAGATGTCTGTCCAATAAGCCGTTCTATTTAAAATAAGATAAGATATACTTCATTTAGCCCATGTGCCAAAACATTAAAGACAACCTATAACAAGTTTAGATAAAGTACAATAATGCAGTAGACGTGGGACTGGAACCAAAATGTAATAGAAAGAAATGTCAGTTCCTCTTTGAATTTTACTGTTACAAATATCAACAATGCTTTAAAAGTACTAATATTGCACGATCATATTCAGAGATGATGGTGGTGATGTTAACACATTCTTCTGTATAAGATCTTAACATCTTGTGTGTATGCAGGTGTCTGGGTAGTCTCGGTGATGGCTTATGCTCATGATAAACAACAAGCTTAAATACTATCAAAAGACTCCTCTTAACAGTGAGCAACCCAGCCGTGTCAGTGCGATAATCTGCGATATTGTCTCACATACCTGGATACTTGAGCTAAGGGCAGCAGTTGCTTGCATGCCCCACCTCTCCCACTTGTCAAGGCTGGTCATACCTGATTGACTTCTACTCCATCATCATGTCACCTTATCTTATTTTGACCCCCTGATAAGCAGGCTGTGTCTGGTACTGTTAGACATTCTCGACTTTTACAAGGGTATTTGGAGTACTGTACATGGGTTTGTTATTGCCCAGCACCTCACAAAGCTCTGTGTGATTCTGCCTCTATCTGCTTGACTGAAATAAACACCACGTCACGAGGCATTCCCGCAGCCTTAGGTAAGATGCCCATATAGGTCAGTTCATGTCATCCTGGAAGATTTTGGGCACTGAAATTCACCCCAAAGTGCATCTCTGAAACTTTGCTCCTGTTATTTTTATTAAGTGTCTGTATAATTTGTCACCCACTAGAGACCATCCCTGCATCTCATGGGGCAGCCTTAGCAAGACCATCCCGATTCTCCTGTTTTTCCCTGAAGCTGTTGTTTCAAAAGATGGAAGCATATCTTCTGTTGGAGGTACAGTGCAGAGTAATAAAAATGTCATTTTGGAGCCTATAAAAGTTCAATGCTAAGAATATCTTGTTGTGCTTTTTGCACAGAACGATATAATATGGCCTTCAAGATTGTGCGCACAGAGAGCCGCCTGGTACGAGAAATACTCACCAATCACGGATTCCATGAGGTAATGTTCTCACTTAAATCGTACAACTTTAACAGATAATCTTGTAAAAATACATTGTTTTTCTTTCTTTTTTTCTTTCTTTTTTTTTTTGCGGCACATGCAATTGTAGGATACGCTTTACTGTAGGTCTGTTAATCTTCATTTGACTGCTGGTGACAAAGCCCGGGAATGCACCCATGGAAAAAAACAAAATGACCTCAAAAAGCATTAATCTGGTTTCACGAGGGCACACAATCCCCGTTATTGCTCTCTCCAAGCAGCTACAATTAATTCCCTTTTTATTTCATTTCAATGCTTCTCGACTGCTGCTAACCCATCATCAAAAGGCAGACGAGTGTCTACCGCAGCCCGGACAGAGCCAAACTTTAATAAGCCTTTATTGCGAACATCTGGCTCTCCACGGGACGCGGACAGAATGGCCATGTGAATCCCGCCTCCTAACAAATTGTTGGAAAAATACACAAATAAAGAGATAAAATAACATGACAGTGATGGAAATCTGTGAACTGGCCTTCCCTTTTGAGATCGTGTCAAAAGCGTAAGTCGTACAGTAGTTCGTGGGGTTAGTGATGGGGTAATGGTGGTGATGCTGGAGTCTGTTTCTTAGATTCAGCCGAGCAATCAAACGTGATGGACGTCAGAATACGATGCTTCTGTTGGTGGCTGGAAACTCTTGAGAGCTTACCCTTTTAATGATCCCTTTGCTGGTGTATTTTACTTTTTGTGCGCTAAATCAAAATCATTTCATCTGGCTTGTCTGCTCAGTTCAGTCTTGCTATTTTTCAGGTTCACCCAAACAGCAATGACTTCAACCTCATGTGGACAGGGTCTCACCTCAAGCCTTACGTACTACGCAGCCTTCAAGACTTCCAGAAGGTCAACCACTTTCCCAGGTATAATAGAGGTTTCAAATATAGAGTGTGTTTCCACTGTTTCCTCTGTTATAAATATCGCCGTATGAGGCAATGTGTTTGTTGGCTTTCGCTTGCAATGTGCGATTTATTTGGGACCGATGTCTTTATGAAGCATGAAGTGAATCATACCGTCAGGCCCAGGGTGTTCTGTAGCCGTTATGTGTTCCTATATTTGTTCTTCCACACGTCCAGATCGCACGAACTGACACGCAAAGACCGTCTCTATAAAAACATCCAGCGAATGCAACAGACTCATGGCTTCAAAAACTTCCACATTGTTCCTCAGACCTTTGTGCTTCCCGCCGAGTACCAGGAATTCTGCAGTAAGATACCACCCACACATAATCCTGTTCGTCTTAGCAGGGCTATATTTATGACATGTTTACAGTCATTTTGAATGACTGCAGTTCTCTGCGTTTCCTGCTTTCCTCTTCTTCTTTTCTTTCTTTTCCTCAGATTGCTTTGCCAAGGACAAGGGCCCGTGGATAATTAAACCAGTAGCATCTTCAAGAGGACGAGGTATCTACTTGGTTAGCAATGTGAGTTTATTTTATTCTTAGACTTCTGTGCCTTTTGATCCTTAAAATGTGAACACTTCACACTTTTCTCTCCTTTCATTTTCCCCTCTCCCCAACCGGTCACACCAGATGGCCACCCTCCCCTGAGTCTGCTGTCATGGCTGCCAAGTGCTTGTTCATAGCAGATAATTGGCTCCCTGGCCTTCTGTCTGTAGTGTTTTAGTCTTTTCCTTAACATATAATGTGTACTGTGGCTATTACACTGTTTTAAATGGCTCTGAGTCTAATTACATTTTTTAATTCTAAACTTCAGTTGTCAAAACCTTCAGAGGACTTCAGTGATATAATAAATATAATTTGACAGAAAAATACTTCTACAAATTCCACCTCGTTGTTTGTTCCTGGTGCTTTGTGGCTACAAACCTGGGTGGTCATCGAGGAAAAAAGAAAGCAAATTAGTGGACTTTGTGTTGCAAGTATGCTGCCAACCTAGTGTTTTTGAAAGGTTAAGAGTAAACCTTAACCTTTAAGTAAAGTAATTTTGAGTCACGGTTATAGGTATTTTTCTTTCTTCCTTAATTCCCTGTGTAGTTTAGTCTTGGTATACTTGGTACTGCTGATCCCCAAGTTTGGAGGATGTCAACTATTACTTCTTTCCCACCTGTGTTTGAGCTTGGTGTGACTGCACTGGCGTGTGTTTGCAAAGATGGGGAAAGTTATTCCACATCGCTTTTATGTCGGACTAGTGTCGGATGTTGGAACTCGGAAGTGATGTCACTCCAGAGTTAGTGCATTCCAGTGCTAAAGTTGGAAAAGCGAGAACAAAAACAGGATTTGTTTTGATTCTTAGCGAGATAAAGCCATCCAGGTATCACAAGCAATACAACATAATACTTGTTTTTTATGTGGGGTGGCTGTAGCTCAGGAGGTAGAGTAGGTCATCTGCTGATTGTCTGCTGATCAGAAGGTTGGTTGTTCGATCCCTGGCTTCCCCGGTTTGTATCTATTAGAGTATGAATGTTAGTTAGAAAGCACTGAAAAGCATAGAAAAGAGTCTGTGTGTGAATGGGTGAAAAAAGTGCTTTGAGTGCTCCAGGAGAACAGAAAAGCACTATATAAGAATCAGTCCATTTACATACTTCAAACCAGCATTGGGGCACATTCTTGGGTAGAGCCTGGTCAGTGCTTTGTGTATAGCTTTTTTTATCAAGTCACAAACATACAACATTGGCTATGGAGATTTTACAGTTCAAGTTGTACTACTGTTTACAGTAGTACACTTTACATTCATTGCCACCATTGCAGACTGTTAACTGGAGGTTGGTGGGGCTTCTCTGACTTTCTGAATAGGAAATATGAGTTGAAGGGGGCATTCGAGATTAAATTTCAGACCAGGGACTCAGAAATCCTGATTTCTGACCTAATCTGAAATGCACAGTTCTTCTCCCCAAAATAGCCTTTTCAAAAAAATAAAAATAGTGTTGGCATATTTGTAAAGTATGAAAGATAAAACAACACTGAACACAATTAACTGAATCTTTCTTTGTTAATGGGGACTCCAGCACTGGGACTAGTGTTTAATAGTAACTACAAAGCTAAAGCCAGCAGAGTTTAAGAATAGGTTAACACGGACTGAGAAACGGGGAGAAGAAAACAGCTAATCTTAATGCCAAGCAAAGCTCAAAACAATAATACTGACTGTCAGTCAGCTCTTCTGTTGTGTGTGTGTGTGAGAATAAACCATGTGCAAGCATGAATTCGCATTAAGGGTAAAACCTTAGTGGGAGTTAACTATAAGCACACTGACATAAAAAAGTACCATGTGAACTCAAACAGTCACTTGGCCAGATGTTATCTAAGTGTGGGGGTTGCACTGATACAGCTGTCTTCGAAGTAAGTATCAACCAGCGTTTCAGACATTAATAAGCTTCGCGGAGTAAATCACACACTTTCAAGGCCCCGGGCTCTTGGAGGAGCTCAACAAGGTTCTCACCCTTGGAAAACATGTGCACGATTCTTCTTCTTCTCAGGCATTTTTATGAAACAGTGGAAAGAATGTCAGAGCGATATTTGGAGAAAAGAAAGAAATACGTTCATCTTTTTTGCTTTGCTTTTTCTCTGAACTGTAGCCAGCGCTGAGGTTACTCCAACTCCTACCCCCCCCGCCCTTTACCCCATCTCTTCTCAACTTCACCACCTGCAACACATTTCAACTTCATAAATGACCCATCTCCCACCACCAGATTGTGTTTTTATAGGCTGTTATTGAAGCTTGACCCGCTATGACCAGCGTCACTGAAACTTTTCTTCATCTTATTATCCTTTGATGTTTATGGTTCACTGCAGCGTCTCGTCAGCCCAATGAACTTGAGTATTTAATGCAGTTCTATATGAATCATTCGTGGTGTTGTAGCTTTAAACTTGTGATAAAATACTGCCCGCATTTTCTTCTGTGTTCATCATATCTTCTTTTGTGCGTCCTGCTTCTCATCTACAGCCAAATCAGATTTCCATGACTGAAAACATTTTGGTGTCTCGCTATATTAATAACCCGCTACTCATTGATGGTGAGTTGTTACAGTTATATTTTTGCTATTTTCTTTTGACAGATTTGCACTGAACAATTTTATGACTTAATCTAATTGTTGTTTTTACAGGGTTCAAGTTTGACGTTCGTTTGTACGTGTTGGTAACGTCTTACGATCCTCTCCTCATCTATGTGTATGAGGAAGGCTTGGCTAGGTGAGTGTTTTTACCTTTGAAATGGTGACTAATACAATAGAAGCTATCTCCTGGTGCTTTTACATAAGATTTTATGTTGTCTTTTTGGTATCCATCCATCCATACAGCCATACATCTTGCTGTTTATCTGCTTTTAGCTGATAGAGACGGTAATTTTATTTTTTATTTTTTATTTTTTATTCCTATTTATTCTATTTATCCCCTTTGTATATTTTATTTATATTTGTCTCTGTATTTATATATATGTGTGTGTGTGTGTGTGTGTGTGTGTGTGTATATATATATATATATCTCAATTCTGTAACTGTAACTTCGGTCATTGCTGTGCTTTTTTTTGGAAGTCGAATTTCCCAGAGGAACCCACCCGAGGGATTAATAAAGTTCTATCTTATCTTATCTTATCTTATCTTATCTTATCTTATCTTATCTTATCTTATCTTATCTTATCTTATCTTATCTTATCTTAATTTAAACAAATATATTAAACAAATATATATAGACTTCCCTTTCTCCAGCCACTTCCTCAGCTCTTCTGGGCTGTGTTACCAAAGTGTTCCTGATTTAGCTGAGAGACAAATTCTTTTAAGTGTGTCCTGGGTCTGCCCCAGGTTCTCCTACCGGTATACCCCAAGACACCTCACTTAGGAGGCACTCACAATGCTTCTTATGTAGAAGTCACCTTAACTTGATGAGATGATGATCAAAGTCTTCACTTTTATTTTTTTGCAACTGAAAAATAACAGTATGTTACGTCTTTATGATTCAACACCTACATTTCCACTCTGTGTTGTTTGCTGTTGCTGGCGTCGCCACATCACGATGCATTTGATTGACACACTTCAACTGCAGTTCACACACTTCTCAGAGTCATCCATAGGGTTGTATTTGACTTTCTAGTTGGTCAGTTCTGGCTGGATGGCATAGATAGAACAATAAGTCACCATCATCTTCATGTCCACTCAACACATTCTTTTACTAAATATAAGTTCTTTCTCTCTTCTAAAACCACCAGTTATCAATTTAAAATTCAGTGATGTGAGATTGTCCTTGCCTCTCACTCTGTCAGCCCTGTGAAGGACTAGCGAGCTGTCCTCTTGGCTTCTGACAGTTTGAATAGGCTCCCCTAATTTAGATAAGTGGTTAACCAACATGAAACTTCCTGTTTATATGTGTCACGTTATATTAGGTTTTTGTGCCACGTTGCGTGTTGTTAAGGAAAGTCTTGTTTATTATTATGGATCCAGCGGGACTTTGTGAAACACTACATTCATCTTCCTTTAGCACCCACAAGAGGGCATCCTAAACTTTGCAGACTGCCTGTGTGGAGCGTGTGGCTTTGGCCACTTTAAAACAAAGCGCTCTATTGTTTCACTTGTAGGATGTGCTAATCAAATGTTTGCTGATTGTGACATTGTTCAAAGCTCATATCTATCACGACTTTATGTAATTGCGCTCGAGTTATTAGGCCTGGGTGTTCAGAGCAATAATAATTTCTTTAACAAAGAAAGGCTATTGTCAGACACGGTTGGGTCAGGAGAGGGTTGATGATTTATAGAATGACTGGCTCCTCACCTCGCTCTGATAGAGGTGCGTGCTCATGCTGGAAACACAGTGCCACTTCCCTCTTATTTGCTGGCTTCATTATCAACTGTTTTCAGTAAATCATGGCCGAATCTTGAATCCCACTTTTATCTCCTGACATTCCTTCACATGTGTTGGTATTCAGGTACATGGTGTGTGCCAAAGGAATTCTCATTATTGCACATGTGGCATCCACTCCTCTCAAACACTGCCAGAAACTAATCTCTTTCCTTATTATTTATAGTCAAGTGTCTTACAAATGTGGATGTTACGGCACATGGATATGTAGGGGAATAGTTGGATTACGTAGAAGGATTTTTCCCCCCCCCTTTTTCCTCTTGTGTAAATAAACCCTGCTCCTTCACAGATTTGCCACAGTTAAGTATGACAGGACTTCAAAGAACATCAAGAACACATTCATGCACCTCACCAACTACAGCGTGAACAAAAAGAGCAGCGATTATGTCAGGTAAGTCCCTTCAGTGATCAAAATACAACGCGGTGCTGTTACGGGAAGGCTCCCCCTCTGACTCATCCATTTATTACGGCTGGAGTGTTTGAAGCTCATTTCTTTCTTTTCAGTTGCGATGACCCCGAAGTTGAGGATTATGGGAACAAATGGAGTATGAGTGCAGTGCTGAGGTATTTGAAGCAGGAGGGGAAGGACACCACATGTGAGTTAGACCTTCACCTTGTTCTTTTCATTTTTAATATCCATGCAATGACGACAGAAGTAACTTTTCAATCTGTTTTCTTTTTTAAAATATCTTATTTTCCTTTGATGTTTCTGTCGCAGCGCTGATGAAGCAAGTTGAGGACCTCATCGTCAAAGCTGTACTGAGCGCTGAGCTACAGATAGCCACCGCCTGCAAGACATTTGTTCCTCACAAGACAAACTGCTTTGGTAATCATTTCCTATTCTTCTTAAAACTATCTTTTTTCCCCAGCCACAGTTAAAACAATCTAGTCCCCCAAAATATGCTTACACCTGCTACAGCCACTGTGAATTATGGGATCCAGCTGCGTTTCCAAAAGAATTTGCTAAAATTCTGAAAGACTAGTCTGAATGTGAAGGCCATCAGCACAAATGTGGCTCCTCAAGAATTTCTTTTGAATGAAATTTGAACTCCGGGGGGAAAGAAAATCTCTCTTTTTGCTCACGGTGCAGAAGCACTCACACATACTTAGTCATACATATTACCACACCCCTCACATTTCTCTTCAGCTTCAGATTCATTGTCCAGCAGCTCCTCCATACTATTTGTCCACTGAACCGTGCTGAAGTTGTAGACATTCATTCCTCAGTGTGGAACCTTCCTGCATGTTTGCTGCCCTCTGACTGGCTGCCGGGTCGTGGACGGCCTGTTGACTGAAGCAGGAATTTGCTTCCTCTCCTCTGTTGCCATTCAGCCTGATTTAGACTGACTGTTTTCTTGGCTAGTCTTGCCTTGCAGTGGGCTCGTGTGAACTCCATTTTGGAGCCATTACCCATGTTAGTGTTGGCACTAATTGTCTGCGCTCTTTCTTCGTGTCTGGCAGCCTTTCTGAGATTTTGGGTTTGAAAGCGAGTACGCTGGCCTAGCTTCTCTCAGCACCACTGCCTCTTTTTCACTCTCTCCCCCCCTTTTCTCTTGCTGTTTCTTCTGCCGCGTTATGTTTATAATTCGCCCTTTCATGCTCACATTCTCCTCACCTCTCAGACGTTAGAAAAATAAAGGACTCCACAGTTGTGACAGGCCTCTTAGACGTAATAGTCCTACGATGGGCGGTTGTTTGGGCTGTACTGGATGCATATCAGCAAAATATAACCATCAGACATTCGCCTGCATAAAGATGCTATCTGCACCCTGAGCATCACTGCAAGGTTGAGAAAACACACATTAACCCAGGGTGTAAAGGTGACCATGCAGGTATTTACTTACCAAGCCTCAACCTGGCTTTCATACATACCTGAGAGACACTGTATACAACGCGATGACATATTTTTGGAGAGAGGGGGTGAAAAACAAGAATGGATAAACAGGTTTGCTCCTGTTCTCATTCATTATTTTTGTCAGTGCTTGTATTCTGTTTTTGTGTTTTGTTTTGTTTTACCGGGCGATCGTGGCTCAAGAGTTGGGAGTTCGTCTTGTAATCGGAAGGTTGCCGGTTCGAGCCCCAGCTTGGACAGTCTCGGTCGTTGTGTCCTTGGGCAAGACACTTCACCCGTTGCCTACTGGTGGTGGTCAGAGGGCCCGGTGGCGCCAGTGTCCGGCAGCCTCGCCTCTGTCAGTGCGCCCCAGGGTGGCTGTGGCTACAATGTAGCTGCCATCACCAGTGTATGAATGTGTGTGTGAATGGGTGGATGACTGGATATGTAAAGCGCTATATAAATACAGGCCATTTACCATTGTTTTGTTTTTTTAAATGCATTCACAAAAATGCTCCACAGATGCATGCAAACAGCACACTAGCAACTGAATCTGATCTTGCACCAACCTGTAGACGAGTAAGAATGTGTTCCTGTTTTATATTGTTTTGTTCATAGCCTGCTTTGAAACTGAACTAAAGGTGAACAAGTGGTAAGAGGTGTTTACATTAATATTGCAGAAACCCAAGTCTGCTTCATGTATACAGTAGCTGGACTGAACAATAACAATTAGGTACTGCACCTTTTGATTAGGACCCATAATACTCTGGAGTCTGTTGTGAGCATGGCCATTATCGTACTTCATCCGTATCAGTTTACTGTTGAATTTAGTGCAGTTTTGTTGTCTTAGATGGCCTCAAGCAAGTTAATTACAGCATTCATAGTCTATTTACAGGATTATATTTCCAAATATAGACAGTAGACCACCCTCATCCTTTCTCTGTTGATCTGTCTCTCCCAGTGTGGTCATGTTGCTCTCTGTGTGTATGTGCATACATTATGAACACAGGAACATGTAGAAACCAGTATAAACCATGTGTTTTCCAAACATACAAGCTTAAAGCTGTCTAAGCTTCAGGCAGTCCAGTCCGATATCTTTGTGGGCTTCTTTTTCTTGTCCCTGAAATAAAAACCCACCCTAACCACCTGGGAGTCATGTTCACTCAGCCACTGTCAGCTCCTTTGCTTCTCCTCTTTCACTTATCCTTACTATATTTTCCCACTTCACAGCCACCACTATCCTCAGCCTTCTTCCTGGCATGCCTGTAATAGTAAACAGGTAAAGCGTCAGAATGCGTGGCAACAAATGCATGTGTGTTAGCTCAATGAACGTGCTGATAAAAGCAGCCATTGTTTAGAGTTTTAATACAGTCTGTTGCTTGTCTGGAAGGGAGCCATGCGAGACCATAAAGCACATTATAATCTTAATTTACTGCAAATTGTTCCCTGCCATTTTAATGTCCATTAATGGCTTTAATACAATGTTTATTGTTTTCCAATTGGATTTCTTCCCTTTGCTTGAATTGCACGGTGTGTCTAAATGCACATACTGTAACAAAATCTTTTTATAGCTCCGTAATGTCTCATGTGGGAAGAAATAAAAACAGCAGTTTTTTCGTTTTACATTGTAAGGAGTGGGTGTAAGTGTGTGTGTGTGTGAGTGTGTGTCCGTGGAGAGAAAATGCCACCCATGCAGCTCTTTACCGCTGCTGTGTGATTAATGGACAGGGTTTTTTGCTGAGAGATGCTGATTATGAGATGTTTTGACTAAGATCTGATTAGCCAAGCCAAAGGCCTATTTTATTACACACAAAACATTCCACTTACTGGTCCTATGTTTCACTGAACGTCCCTCATTAAGTGCTGAGTGTGGTTGGATCTCCCGTCTGCGAACCACTCTGCCTGTCTTACATTTGTCAGATACTCCCACACTTCACTGCGGCACAGTGTTTGTGTTCCTATGATGACAGTGCAGCTGCTGTGTAACTGAGTGTTTTCGAGAATGATTAATGGTTTTGGGTCCCACTATCACAATAACGCTATAGAGTGTTAACAGCGACTTAATTTGTTGTCCTGGGAGTGTTTTCTCGATTGTGGCTCTGAGGCGTGCCTGTTAAGCTCCTTGCGACAGCAGTGAAACAGTTCAGCGCCATTAATTTATTTCTGAATTTAATTGTCCTTGCTGTGAAAAGAACACACATGAAGGAAATACTTTATGTTGATGTTGTTATTGTGGACCAACAAGCTGCATGGGCAGGGTGGGGGAGATCATTGTTTTTGGGCATTTGTCTGTTGTGGTGAATTTTCCAGCAGCGCCCATCCAATAACAAAAAAGAAAGCACACCAAAAAAACCCCTCAAAAAACTCTTCATCATCCCTTTTCTCTGTCATATTTATTCTCTCCCTCCCTCTTTAATGGGTGTGATGTGGATGTTCGCTGCCTCTCGTCTGCTTGTCTGTGATGCTTGTTGTGGGCTCTCTGTGGGCACATTTAAAAGTGTTCCCCTGGCAGCGGTCGAGCCGCAGAACAAACGTGCCTAACAGTGAGCGCTTCGACAGGCTCACAGGGAAGGAATGGCGTCTGCTACTAATTGGGGGAAAATTTGTGACACATGGAGCCTGCATGTCGGGGGGGACGGTGAGGTGGTGTAACACCTCCTGTTTTTTTTCTTTTGTTGTTGTTGTTTTTTCTCCCTGTTGTTGTGGTGCCACTGAAGTGAGAGCGTAAGCTAAGCCATTTTATTCCAGCGCTCTTGTCTATAAGCTTTATGATACACACACTCTCTCCCCATCTTCCTATAAAATGGATTGAATGGTATAAAGCTAGCAAGTGGAAAATAAAATGCTTTGCTAAGTGAGCACTGCTTAGCAGTGGGGGTCCCGTCCATCCGCAGAAGTTAAAGAAGGTAAAGATGGCAGTGGCAGCTTATGTTGCAGCTTTTGGCTTGTGGGCGTAAGGCAGACTTTGCTCATTTCCATCACGAAAATAGTGTTTGCACTTTCACCAATTTGGACCCTATGACACTACCATAAGTTCAGCTCTCAGTGCATGTGATATACAGTGACCCAGTGATATTGTGCTTCCCTGATGTAAAGAAATGTTCTCAAGGTGTGTCCTGAAAAAATTACATTTAACAAACTCATTCAAAGGTACAGTAAGTCATTCTTTGTTATTTAATAGAAAAAAGAATGTTGGACTCATTAATATACATAGATTAATGTGCAACTAAATCTTCTAGCAAACTGATACATTCTCATGAATGTAAAGAATTAATCCACTAAAAATATATAGGAGCAGGTGCCAGTGTGTGGATTTCAACATGTTGCCCATCATCTCGAATAAAGTGGCTGAGATGGACATCGATGTTCCGTCTAATCAAATTTTATTTATGTGGCGAGAGATCAGTCACTAGCTATTCAGGATATTCTCAACAACTTATAGTATCGCTGTCAGTAGACAGAAGTGAGCTTTACTGACTCATCGAGTTCTATCAGACCTTTTCAGCCTTCTCCAGTGTTGATCGATGTGGACACAAAGCATGTAGACAGCTGAGGTAAACAGAGGACTGACCGCCTATACTCACTACACATGAACAACAGCCAGAGTTGTTTGTCCTACAACAGCCACTATATCTGGGATTATGAATTGAAATAAGACAGGTAATGCCGCGTTCCAGATACCTCGGAACACTCCCAAGTTAGGATCTTCCAGAAAAAGCTAGGAGAAACAGGATTTGTTTTGGTTCTTGGCAAGGAAGAGTCATTTAGGTATCACTAGAAATACAGCATACTTATTTTTTGCACTTAAAAAACACATTCATGTATCGAGCCTGATCAGTTCTGTGTATGGCTTATTTAGCAGTGGAAGTACAGATTAAAAATTCACAATTTTACAAACATTTAAATTCAGCACCACCTTCTTGGATTACTAAGTTGGGGTATGTCGATTTGTTCTGATTTTTCAAGTTTCAGTCCGAGTTGAGGGGGCGTTTCACAAAAAATCTCTGAATGGGAACTTCCGACTTATTCAGCAACGCACCATAATAAAAGAGAATTCAGTATTCAGTTGACTGCAATCTGAAATCTATTAACACCTAGTGGAGAGATTTTAAACACTGTTCCTTTAATGTTGAAAATAATTTTATTTACAGCAAACAAGAACCCTATGCCACAATTTCAGTTCAACATATTTTCTCTGTTGGTCCAGAGCAGATTTGTTTCTTACAAAAACTGCATGGCTGTTGCATTTCTTTTCAACAGAAACAGTTTATTCATTCAAACACGAATGAGCAGACAGCTTTACATTGCATGCGGATAGCCTATAAATTACATACACCAAACAGACATGTTTGTATGAGTCATGGTTTCGCCATATAACGAAATCCATATAACTTTTTATAAGCATATGCTCCTATAACCCATTTGTCACTCACAGAAAGGAAATGTAACATCTGTCCTCAGATACAAAATGCATTTCATTCTAAAATGAATTGAAAGTAATAAATGGAGACCCGCATTTTTTACCAAAATGAACAAAACTTCTTGACCATTTCTGATGAATATCAAGCAGTTTTACTTGACATCTGCCTCCAGGATTTTATTTTTTGTTCCAACATCTGCAAGTTATTTAGACATGCTCCAGTGTACATACTATACACATCTCATACAACTCATGGTTTGTTTAATGGTTAACTTCATGAGTTTTTAACTATATACAACATCACATAATTACATTTACTCATCCTTTTAAACTTGATCTGCTCTGTTTTATCAATGTGATACTGAGTGTAAAGCTGGGGCCACTGGTGGCTGTCATGCTGGCTTTTGTGTGCTTAACACTGGCATTGACCTGAGATGTTAGAACAAACAGTGCTGCTTACAGCAGCTTTGAAACCTCCAGCCACCCAGGCCTATTCTCAACATAGCCTGTTCTTTTGAAGTGCCATTAGAGGGATTTTTTCTCTGCCTCTTTGGCTGGGCTTCACGCTATCCCTGTAAAATACTGCGGTTTCCCTGCACGCTGCTGCTGGGGCCGATGGCTCGTTGGCTTATTGGGTGACACTCCCCAGAACAGTGTGAGAGCTTTCATATGGCACATAGGGCAACTCTGCCACTGTGAGCCATATATCAGTCAGTGAAACAGGAGAGAAAATTGGAGTAGAGTGGATTAATTTTTACATGGGGAACTGCCTGACCACTTTTTTATTGTGTCACTCAGTGCTCAGCTATAACTGGGGTGAAATATATACTATAATAATATATTGTCTAAGGCTTTCTAATTCCCTAGATTTTGCCACTGTAAGTCATGGTCCCAGTTTAGTATCTGAATTTATTTTCCAAGTTAAAAAGATACTAACTTATGATGGTGCTGGAACTCTTTCTGGTGACCATTAGGGCAGTGTCCTTCTAGGTAATATCTAATGAAACTATGTACATTTGACTTTAACCTTCTCAACCAAAATTATTTGCTGGACAGTTTGTTTTTGAGCCACCATCTTATGTAAGAATCTTCATGAGAGATGTATATATATGCTTGGTTAAAGCATTTGAGCCAGTCCCTCAGTAGCAGGCACTGGTAAATGTTTCTTTCTTGAATGATTGGGTATATAACATGTGTGTAATCAATAGCAGAAAGTCATGGGCCATGTTGCCAGATGCCACATAATGAGGTTATGACAGAACTCTGGAAGTGCTTCTGACTTTGATATCCTTCATCCTTTAACTGAGCAGATCTGGGAGATTTTTTTCTTTTTTTTTTAGTAATCCTGTTTCTGCTGACTTCTTTGTCTGCAGTAAAACCTTTTGATTCATTTTGTGTTTCCCTCTATAGAACTGTATGGTTTTGATGTGCTCATTGACTCCAACCTCAAACCCTGGTTGTTAGAGGTGAACCTTTCTCCCTCCCTAGCCTGGTGAGTGACTCAATTACTGTATTAAATTGTTGTCATTTGTTATTTCAGGAGGATCTCTTTTCCAAAACACGCAGTACTTTGCAAAAGTATTGAGACACCCCTCATTTCTTTATTATAGTTTGCTTCAAAGGAGCCAGCCTTTCTTTTATTATTTTAAAGTGCTCTTGAGCAGTAGTTCTCCATGTAAAATGTAAAGCTGTAGGTGTTTTTTTTTTAATCATCTCAAGGTTGTAAAATGTTCCTAATTTCAGTGCCATGTTGAAGGCACTCAACTGATGAGCATTTTAGTCTGACATTATATGCCAATAATGTTTTTGTTTGTGAAATCTGCTTATTTACAGTGATGCTCCCTTGGATTTAAAGATAAAGGCCAGCATGATTGCAGACATGTTTTCACTTGTGGGTGAGTGCATCCGGCAGGAATGAATGCAGCTTATATTTAATTCCACAGTTTTGCACAAGTGGGTGGACTTTATAGACAATCACTTCATTTAAAATGTGCACTTTGAGCTTGATGTAGACTTGCATAGGAAATACTGGTGAAATAAAGTAGCCTCAGGCCCTGATACCTCACACATTGGTGTTTGACTATTAGGAAGCAAGTGCTTAGGCTTAGGCATAGATAAAAGCCCTTGTAAGAATGTGTACAGGTATTGGTGAATGGGGCTTGTAGTGAGAAAACACTTTGAGTGCTTAAATAGAAAAGCGCTATATAAGTACCAGTCCATTTACATGTCTGTATCTCCATATTATCAGCCACTAAATAAAAATCAAAGGACAAATCTTGGGAGAATATCGACATTAAAAGTTATGGGGAAAAAGTAAACATTAACAGATGTCAGGTTTAAAGCAAACAGTTGCATTGGTACATGTTAACAATGTTAAAAGGGCAATTACGGGAGCCTTTTTGGAACTTTGTAGGCATCGATCTGACTAAAGTCAAAAAGAATAGTTGTTATAATTCACAACTTGTGACAACAAAACAAGATTATTTTTTTATTGCCTTTTCATATTATCCTAATAAGGACTTATAAATAACTACACATAAAATATTAGCGAAGTCTGTTGATGTTTTATGTCTCTAAAAGAAAAAAACATATCTTTCAATGTATTGAATTTTTAAATCACCAAATATCGTATCAGTATGAATCTTAAAAATACTATAACGCTGACGTTCCACACCTACAGTAAGCCATCAATATACAAATCGCAACGCAGAATGAAGCTAGATTAACTGTTGAGTAACAAGGAGTCAGAGCCTATAAACAAATTGAACTGAAGATTTAGATGTTCTTTAAGGTTAAATTTTGCATTACTCATGCTTAAGCTCTGGATGGAAAAATACTTAGGCACAATTAAGAGATCATTCAGTGAGCATTTATTGCACAAGTATATATTTGGGGAAAAGACATTATTTTGGCGAGGCTAACATGAAACGAAAAGTGCTGCAAGTATGCTTTTTTTCTGTGCTAGTGTCACTAAAAGCCATAACTGCTAGTTGCTTCTTTTAACCAGCAGGTTTTAAGTGGAGACAGTCGACTATTGTTTAATGCTTAATGTTTTCCTGCATTCCACGAGTTGAGTTTTGCAAAGTGCCAAAAATAGCTGTATGGCTTCCTAATGGGCGCTCCACTGTTGAAAGAACAAATCGTAGCTTTCATTAATTGACATTAAATGACTTGCAGACAAAAAACGTTAACGTAAGCCTACTTTTTGTGGTCATTAAGCCTGGCCCAAGGCAGAGATCAACATTGTTTTTTAATGTTTGCTGCAGGGAAAGAGAGATACTGTGTCTTTGTTATGTTTCCTCCCTTCTTAATTATAAATTCTCATGTAGATGAAGACTTCAGATATGAAACTATAGGAGCCCACATAGTTTTAGACTTTATCCTTTTCTTTGTAGATACAAAATAAATCCGTATACGTGGGGAAAAAGATCTTGATTATTTAACTTTACTTAATACTCTTCTTTATCCTTGTTACCAGTTATATTTTACACAGAGCATACTGATTAGCAGGCGTCCATCTAAAATGGCACCGAACCATTAAGTCTATCTGTGGTCACAGCCTAATGATATTAAAGGAGTGGTGATTACGCCCATGTGAGTGAATGTGTGCACACATGTGCATGTGCGTCTTAACCCTAGGCCATACTGTGGCTTGAAACCCTCTCCACTGGCTCATTAAATGAAAGGGTAGAATCATAAATTGCCAGTTATCTTTGGACGGAGACGTTACTGCGCGTCTGGGGAAAATAAGCGGTGGCATGTAAAACATAGCACATCTATTATGTACCAAACAAACTAAGTCGCTGTTGGCTGATAACACTTGGGCTGCCTCCCAGACCTGTAAATAATGACAGCATTCCATTTGCATTAATTTTCTGCTTGCGTGTAGCTGTCAGTTCTCTGTCACCAGTGTTTGTAATAATTGCCGTGTTTAGGCAAGAGCATGGTGGGGGCCTGAAACTTACCTGACGGCTTGGATGAGGTAGAATAAATAGCCCAGAGCTCTAAGCTGTCAATAGATTTAATTCACCCAAAGTGTGAGAGCAAGATAGAACATAAACCTATTTATTTAAAAGGTCACTGTGACAACTAGTTAGCTATGAAGGAATGTGGGAATCAATAAACAAAAGATTCTAGATTTAAATCTTTTAGACAGGGTGGGAACGTCTTGCTAAGACTGGGGCTCCTCATGGTAGTACATGCCCAGAAGACCTTGCACAGGAGGCGCCCAAGGGGTGCCTGTCCGAACAGATGTCCGAACCTCCTTTCGATGTGGAGGAGTAATGGCTCTACTCTGAATCCCTCCTACAGTAAATGACTGAATTCACTAAGGTAGAGCCCATTCATCTTTAGCCAGAAGCTCATTTACACTGTTGTATCCACGGTCTTTTTCTTTTGGTCCCTTTACTGTCACGTCTCTTTCCCATCACTCGTGAACAAGATCCAAAGGTATTAAACTCCTCCATTTGGGGCAGCATCTTGTTCTTGACCTGGAGTTGGCACACCACCCTTTTCCTGCTGAGAACCGTGGATTCAGACTTGGGGTGCCAATTCACATTTCTGCCGCTTCACACTCAGCTCCAACCTACTCCAGTGCAATCTAGAGGCCACCACCTGATGAAGCCAATACAGCCACATTCTCCCAGGAGGAAAATGGAGTCCCCACCCTTGAGCACCACACCCATTATCTGCAAGAAGTGTAAATGACATTCAGTTTCCTATCCTTAACCTAAACACATGGTGGAAAGTAACTGTTTTGTCCACCAGGGAAAACCCCAGCATATAGGCAGGGACCTGGGGGGATACTAGTGCCCCTACCTGCTGCCTCTCCTCGAGGGAAACTCCAGATTGAAGCAGAGTCCCATAGATGGGTTCTAGACCCAATGTGTGTGTTCAGGTGAGCCCAATTATATCTAGTGGGTATCTTTCAACTTCACACATTAGCTCAGGCTCTTTCCCCATCAGAGAGGTGGCGTTCCATGTCCAAAGAGCTTATTTCACCAGCTAGAGATCAGACTGCCGAGGCCTCCACCCTTGAAAGTCACCCACCCACCATACATTGCACCTGAACCCTGTAGTGCCTTCTGCAGGTGGTGAACCCAAAAGAAGGTGGGCACATGTTGCCTCTTTGGGCTTTGTCCGAATGGGCCGAATGGACTAAAGTTTAGCCACCAAGCACTTCCATGCTTCCTCAAGGGTGTGGCCCCAAGGTTACTGGGGCCTCAAGGGTGTGGCCCCAGTAACCTTGTACCAGGCAGGGTTAGAATCAGTCTCGCACAGAGTCGCAAAGGTTTGAAAATAATAATGTTTAATTTATAAACAAAAACAGACTGAATGCCAGTTCTTGCGATCACTATGAATCAGTCTGCACTGATGAGCAGAATTCATCTGCAGGAGACTTGGCTCAACTTGTTGCCAACTTTTTTTAAAGTAGTTATATTCCTATGTAAAAGCAAGGCAGCTGAGCATCTTTGCCAATTTGCTGTTAAATAGCTGATTTTTCCTAATTCCTCACATTTAATTACCAATTTATCCCAAACACATTGCATGCAATTGTCAACCTAACCCTGTTCAGTTGTAAAGTCATAAGGGACTAACTCTTCTAACTCATCTTGATGCACCAAAGTTTTCAACTGTCTGCGAGTAGTCACAGACCAACTCCCCATCTTCAAAGCAGGCATTTCAAAGGCAACAATATTGCAAGTTCCTTGCATATAGTCGCAGTAATTTTAGTTGTACAGTGATCTCCAACTACTGTTTTCTATAGTGTGACTGTAGCTTAAGAAACAAACCCATTCAGCATCAGGGGCCTGGGTTGCATTATGCTGCAGTGGGTCCCTATTTTGAAACACTTCTTTCTGACCTAAATGTATTTTTAAAAAATTCATGTATTTGATATAGCATGATATTGTTTAATTTATTGCCTTTCTGTCGCTCTATGCTCCACATTGGTTTCTTGCACAAACATTAAGAAGTTGATGCAATACATGAAGGTCATGGGAATGTAACATATTTAAGACCTGATGTCATAAACATGCCCCTTTATGGCTCTTCTGTATCCCTGCAGGCTTTGTGTGTCAGGACCCCCTGTCGAGACAGCCTCGCTCTGACCAAAGAACACAGGTAGTGGTGGACACCAGCACACACGCGAACACAACCGTCAAGCCAAGCATTGCACTCATTCACCCTTCCTTGTGAAACATTCCCATTCTTGTCTTCATGTCTCTGTAGTTACACTACATTCCTGCCACTGCCACTGAGCTCTTCTCTTACCCTAATGGAAAACTCACTGTAATGCAAAACAACTGCTAATGCAATTACAGTGTTTGAGTGACCTCAGTTTGTAAGTGCTACACTCTCAGTGGCTTATTGTTTTATCATTTCTAATCAAGTGACTAATGCTCTCTCTAGGCCTTGTTGCCTAATGATGCCACAACAGCTAATACACTTGGCTACCTCCACTCGACTACTGCACTAAGATCTGGCAAAGGACCTGCTGGAGGGATATTACTAAATCATACAGATTTCTGCTCCACCTTATATTGTGTAAAAGGCCTGTTTAGACATAAAGTAACAATGTTTCATTGTTGTATGTTGATGTGGTTTGGATGTTGTCTGTATGTGCCTTGATACAGGCTCAATGCTGATGCAGTGTGTTCACCCATTTCCTCTTAGAAACTTTTTTCTGCACATCCAGCCACTACACACAGCAGAGTGGTAAGCTTTTTTTTTTGTTGACTCAGACGTATTAATCTTCCTTTGCTTTGTCCCTTTGCAATTCCCTGATGCCTGTTTCATTACCGGTAAGAAATCGCTTGCTGCTTTTTGCTTATTTGATTATGTGGCTAAAGCAATTTTTCACAGGGACAGACAGATGGCTTATATAAATCCTTAATGCTGCGTTTATAGTCAAAGCTTCGTTAGCAAAAGCACTTAACAAGCCGCAATGCGCTACTTTGCGTAATGAGTCGAAAAACTTTCTTCCCGATGCTTCAGGCACACCTAAATCAAGCCAAACACTAGCTGTTGAAGAACTTCAGGGGCCCATAGAGAACCTGTCCTATCCCTTCACTCTGATCAGGGGCAACAGTTGAGACCTTTTCTGAGGGATTAAGCCTTGTCACTTTTTGGCTGCCTTTGTATCCCCACTATCCGTGTCAGGGTAATTAAATATAATCCCCCTGCTATTCAGATGACAAATTTTATATGTGATCATGCAGGGTTGTGCCCCTCTATCTGGCCCGAGTTCCAAAACTGCATGCCAAAGTTGTCAGTCACAGCCTAGTAGTGCATGCAGCAGGGAGACAACCAGAAATGCCACTGCTTAACAAAAGCACTCTATTTCTGTGGCGAAGACAAAAGAGGAGAACGGGGTTTTGGTTATCTGTGATGTAGCTTCTACATTTTCAACTTAACATACAAATAGATTTTTGTGGATTACCCTTACGGCCTTTTGTTCATCCTGATTATGAAGCACCTGATTTGCTTTAACAAAACTGGATTGAAAAGAGGAAACATATTACACCGTTTTTATCAAAAACTGTTTGCATCGTCTCCGCTTCTTGTAGCGACAGAGGCCGACGTCAACCAACATCTCAGAAACCGAGGATCTTAAGGACAAGCGAGGAGCTAAGCATGGCCAAGGAGACAGCACTCTGAACCTAACTGTTGAGGAGGTAAGGTCTTAATAAAGATGTTGTGTAAAGTACTTTTAGTATAGGCTGTGTAACTGTATTTTTTCTGTATAAACATTGCTTCTTTTTTTTAATAGATGGTATTTTACTTTCCTTCACTAATATAGATCAGAGTGCTGCGGAGCATAAAGGAAGAGTATGAAAGACGAGGAGGTTTCATTAGGATCTTCCCCACCGCGGATACATGGGAGCTCTATGGGTAATCTGAGCCAGGAAAGAACAGACAGATCCCTTGTAGGCCGCAAGGGAAGTTTGTCTGTAATGTTACTCATTACTGATACTGTGCTCAGATAAGCAGGACATTTAGCTTAAAGCCAGACTAAGCGACTCCTGTTTGCATTTGCTAATTTAACCACCAAACTACGATATAGCTCCAGAGTCACTGGAAACTTGTTGGAGTCTATGTTCCAAAAAAAATGATCCCACAGTGACTTTATATTAAAATGCTATTAAACTCCTATTAAGAGAGGAAATCCATCATTGTGCTTAAAATTTATATTCCTATATGAGGATTAGTTGCATGATTAAACCTCCGTTAGCAGCAGGGTATTTTGTGGCATTTTTAAAAGCGTTTTATTGAGCGGTCTGGGGAGCTATTGGTGCAGTTAATACCCGTTCCTTCCACAGGATCACAGAAGTCTCATTTTTAACACATTTGCCACAAATAAAGACGCCGGAGCTCACTGGGGCCCCTGCCTTTATGATTATTGTAATTTGCTTATTATCTTCTTCTCTCAGAGGATATCTTGAGTCCAAGACATCAATGAACTTCGTGTTGGCAAACAGACTTTTCCATGGAAGGTAAGCATTTCCATTGTGGTCGGGATGGGAAATAAATCTCTCCATCAGTTTGTGGAAATGGTGGGATTGTAACGTGGCATTTGTTTGGTCTTTTGACTGGATAGGTGAGACGAACAGCTGAATAGATGACACACAGTCAGCTTTTCCAGCGCGCGCCTGTGTCTATGTGGCATTGTGGCATTGTGGCATCGATTCGGGGGCAGGAAGGGAAAGATAGTCACAGATGAATTGTGCCGTTTTATTGAACCGCATTTTTGTTATTGTAGTACAACGTTCATTTAGGTTATTTGAATCTGCGCAGGCTTTCAAAATTTAACCACAGGTTTGACTGTATTGACTGGAGATTTGTCCCCCGACTAAGCTAAGATTTTCCATATTCATTAGGTAGTGAGTTCAGGGAGATGGTTGCTGCTGCAGTACCTAACTTAAAGTTGAAATTTACAGCTGTTTCTCTGCTTTATACTTGTTGATAATATCCATATAAATCATTATTCTTGTTGTTATTATCATTGCGTTGACACGTCTTGCTCTGCCTCGCAGGAATGTGAATGGGAATGTGCAGCTGCAGGTGGACGTGGTCCATGGCTGTCACGTTGTCCAGTATGAGAGGAAGCTGCTGTCTCTGGAGGCACGAAAGAGGAGACAGCGCCACCTGACTCATGGCTCTGCTGCAAGGAAGAAAAAATCGGGTAAACTCAATGTGTTCTTTCTTTTTTTTTTCCTTCAGTTTGAAATAACTTTTTTTTTTCCAAAACTAGGAAGAGTGTAGCTAAGTAGAACAACATCTCACGCTAATGCACTTTTGGTTCCAATAAATAACTCCCCTGTGTCACGGTAAGGTTGGCCAAATATGACTCTGTATGAGTTCATTTCATTGCAGCAACAATAAAAAGCCTATTTTGAGTGCATGTGTGTATTTTATCCCAAATGCCAGTGATGCAACTGACATTTGTCTTTTCTTGCTGTGTTGCATACCTCAGGGAAGGAATCCAAGGCCTCCCTGACTGAGAACAGCAGTCAGGAGGGAGAGGAGTGTGCTCAGGAGGAGGTGAAACAAGCTCTTGAGCCAGTTTCACACAAGGCTTTGGTAGCAGAGCAAAGAAAACAAGTGGCCACACCACTGGAGCGATGCCACAGTAAGGCTCAGTCCAGCTCAGAGGCAGCCGTGCACAATGCCAGCCCTACAGTCAACCTGCTCAACATCCTTCAACAGGGCTGGGAACTCAGGTCAGTTTGCATTCTGGGCTGCTGCTCCCATTCGTCCTCATTGAGTAAGGAGTACTGTGAAGTTGCAGGTAGAAACGAGGACGAACATTTACACGTGTTGATGTTTTAATTCCTCTCACTACCTCTGACTGGCTGGGCCTCAACGAAAGTCAGTGTTATTCTTGTACGCCATTGAGTCCAGACATAATAGTTTACTTTTTAACTTTTTCTGCTTTGATGAAAACACAGTTTTAACTTAGATTGAAGCACATGGCACTTCAGTAAAAGGGGGCATGAAAAAGTGTTAAGGTTCATGATGGGTCTGCAGAAGGTCCCGCAATTTAAGTAGTTTGTGACCGTCTAGTAAATAAACGTTGGTTTATTAGCACAGGCAGTAGCTTTCCTTTTCCTGAGCTACAAGTAAACAGTCATTGTTTGAAAATGGTATAAAAGCAGATGTAAAGGGTTCAAAATTTGCTGAGGATCAAGACACTCACTTTTCTTTAAATAAAGACACGCAGATACAATATGCTTTCACCACTGTACTTAGACTCAACAAAGGCTGCAGTCTCCTGTCATTTCAAACGTGTGCCTGAAATTATAATTTCAGGAAGAATTACGATAACAAGTCTGAGTTTGTAGAAATTCCTTAGTGCTTGCCAGGACTGTGCACGAAGCTGGGAAATTATAGTATAGCATGTCTTTGTTTGTGTTTGACAGCTACAATGTTCTGGCAGTACTCTCTCCAGGTTCACCTGGGCCACGAAGACAGTTTGTCATTTTGATACTGATACAGGACAAGATACAGACAAGATGCACTGTGTTCCAACAGCATTCTGTTATCAGCTATTGTTGCATATTTCTATTTTTCATTGCTTTATATTTGCTTTGCCTTTGATGCTTTTTCCTCTCTCTTTTCTGCTTTTACCTCTCCTCTTCAGCAAAGTGCAGGCTCGTATTGCTTTCTCCTCTTACCTGCAGCGAGTCCAGCAAAGACTGTTAGCAGAAAGCAGAGACAACACCATCTCAGCTTGGCCCGACAATGGCAACGATCAAATGGTACAGCTATAGCATTTTTTTTTAACTCCTTGTAAAAAATGAAAGCAATCGAACACTCTGTAACTTTGTTTTCTCTGTATGTATGTGTGCATGTCAGTTTCCCTTATTATTCCTCTGTTACTCATCTGCACCGTGGAAATCTGCACGTGGCATTTGTAGCCACATAGAAGGAAAACGTGGACTCTGTAAAAGAGAGTCTGTTTGGAAAGTTTGCATTGTAATGGCATACATCATCATCATCAGCAGCAACCTTAAAAAACCTGAGGAAAATCAGTGTAAAATCGTGCCTATCTCTGATCTTTAAATTCAAAAGTGTTTTAAAGTGAGTCAGACCCAGAGTTAAGACGACAGAGACGGCTCAATGAATCAGTGATTCGGGAAACTGATGATAAAAGTTTTTTTTCTTTGTCTTTACAGGAGCTCGTGATTTGCTTTCTGAGAAAAGCAGCCAGTAACCTTCAACAAAACATAAAGGTAGTCTTGCCCAGTCGGCAGTTACCACTCCAAGACCGCAGACGCATCCTGTCCCATCAGTTAGGGGAGTTTATCCACTGTTATAACAAGGTACCCCTTCCCAGACTGTAGAGTCATTGCAGAATTACAATTCAGAGAGGTGCTTGAAACACAAAGGACATTGAGCTGTTTATTTCCAACAGTCAAAGTACATCTGCAGTTCTGTTCTTTTCTCTATGTTCCCAGGAAACTGAACATATGGTGAAAAAACAGGAGATTAGTAAAGAGGAGCGTTGTGTTAATCCTAAAGTGTTTCAAGAGTACATCAGTGCAGCCAGGTTAGTGATTTGGCTCAACTTTTTTGAGCCAAGTTTTCTGTTACACACATTTATTTCATGTCTTTTTTTTTCTTCTTGAACTAACAGTGAAAACGACCTGGAGGAAGTACTGACATTCTACACGCAGAAAAATAAATCGGCCACCGTCTTCCTAGGAACAAAAGTCAGAGGCATTAAGAAAGATGTTCGTGAAGCAAATGCCTCAAGAGATTCAGGAAACTGTGATAATTCTAAATGTGAGTTTCTTGTTTCTTTTCCCATGTATGCTTTTTGTTTTTTCTACTGTACATCTGGTTCATGTTTTAATTTTTTATCATTCAAGCATAGTAAACAGGAACTGTTTAGATTTGTGAATCTAGAACAGTGAAAGGAAAAAAGATTGAGTCATCTGGGGTGAAGAAAAGGTCAGCTTCAAATGATTAGAACTTACTGCGGGAAAACAAATGTGTGTCAGAGCTGAGGAATGAGTAACTGATGATAAAGGAGCTCTGGCTTATTTCCTCCTTTGAACAGCTTTGGCCGTGGAAGCGGATTCAGAGTTGTCGCTCCTAACAGGGAAAGTCAGCTCCGACTCAGACAATAAGGCCACTGATGGTCAGCCTTCTTTTTGTTTGCTGCCTGAAGACATACGGGCTGAAGTAAGAATGGTTAAAACCCAGCCAGAAGTCCAGTCGTCTCAACACCGCTCCAGTTTTCCTGTGACCTTGGACTGCGTGCACAATCATGTGCAGCACTGCTCTCCTGCATCCCTGCCTCTTCACTGTCCACCGCCGCCTCCACCTCCTCAGCCACCATCTTATGCACAGTCCTTGGCAAAGTCTCACCTCTGCCATTCTGAGAGTATTTCTGACCCTCCCGCATACACCTCTGCCCATGTGGTCACACAACCTCCAAGGGTCCTGTGGACGGCTGCGCCCACGGGCTCAAATGCGGCGACTACAGGGCCATCGACACAGGTGCTCAGAAGAATTCAGTCCTTTACCTCATCCATGGCTGGCTCTGCAGCGGCCTCGTCCGTTCCAAGTGCCACACACATCTATAGCCAGAAGCTCTCTAGACCCACATCTGCAGGCCAAGGTAATCTTTCCTGCACGGCGTGCTGGTGTTTCAAATCAAATTCACAAAGATGTTCTCACCTTTTCCTTTTTGTTTTTCTTTCTCAGTGATCAGGAGGAGCACTTCCAGTAAGCTCAAGTCAAACTCAGTGGGAGCTTTCAGGGAGTTGAGCACTCTGACCGCCCAGGCCCAGTCCAACCAGCAGGCCTTCATCTCAGCCCTGCAGAAACTGGCAGACAAGCAGGTTGCTCACCACTATGCCAGCTCCAGTCACATCAACCTGCTGACACAACATGTAAGTTTATTATGCTCTCAGCTTCTGCAGCTCTGTGACTCAACAGCTACAACTACTTTGAGTAAGAAACTATGTTGAGTTATTAAGCAACTGTAAACTGATCTGTGTAATGGTTCATGTAAGGAAGAAGAATCTGGCCTCTCTGCAGTAGTCCTCTCACTGTGAGGTCTTTGATATTTCTCTTTGTTGATGTGTAAACCTGGCTCAGGCCCCACGCTGATCGGCGGCATCTAACTGCTTATTCATTCAGCAGACCTGTTGGAGCCCGAGGGTCTGCACCTTCCTTCTTCAGCCTTCAGCTCGCCTGCAGTCTGCGGGCTGGGGTTGGTATGGGGGTGGGTCTAGGAACTGGAGTTTGAAGCTGGCCGGCCCAAACAGTGGTGAGCAGCGTCAGCCCCTCAGCTCTGTGTGAGGTCTCATTATCAGAAGCACCATGGGGGAGTGATTTCTGTTGATACTTAACAAGCAGCCACCTTTTTTTTCTTCTTTTTTTGTGGTAATTGATGCTTATAAATCAAGGAATGTGGCAAATTGGCACCAAGCAGGGGAGTGGCAACTTGGTTGTCTCTATCACCACCTTGTCGCATATTTCCCAAAGGTTTGCCCTTCAGCTTTGGGAGCCCATCAACCTTTCATTCTTCCTCCTGTTCCTTCACCTCCTCTTCTGCATCGCTGGATTATTTATTTATTTATTTTCAGTCAGAGATTTTTGCGATGGCACCAGACCACACAGGCGGCAGTTTTATGGCTTCCTTATGACTGTATATTATTCTGTCTATCTGAAAGGTGTTTGCTGTATTTCCTGTCGGTAGTTAATCCTCAACATGGCAGCAGCTTATTTTTCAGAGTAAAGTAGTTCAGTGTTTTGCACTTAAAGGCTTAGAGTACATTTGCTTTTTGCTTTTTTTTCCAGGACTGAGATTTGAAGTCATTAAATCACTTGCTGGACTAAATGGAGAACTTTGTAAACATGAACAACACCCTGTTGCACAGTTGACTCCGTAATTACTCACTCTCATGCTAGGGCACATATACAAAACAGAAACTGAAATTGAGTAAAGCCAGACATGCTGAACATCAATGAAGTGAATATACTCCTGGGCTGTGATATATTGATGGGCATATATGTGCATACACAGCTTGTGCCTTGAGTGAAAAGATTTCTTTTGACAGATCTATACTCCCATTTTGGTCTCTTGACATGTTATATTACATGTTCTCCAAAGGTTGTTTTAATTTCTGCAGATTATATTAAACACTTTATAAAAACATATGACCAGTCTACCTTAATAAACCCCAATAAACCAGAGCTGTAGCTATGTAACAAAACGCCAACACTCTCTTTATTAATGCCATGCAAGGCCCAGCAGCTTCAGTTTTTTTCCCATTGGTCCTTTAGTGCACAGAAGGAAATAAAGTAAATAAAGCACCGCAGCGTTATGTTTAATTCTCCCACCAGATTTCATCGAGCATCATTCCCAGGCTAGCACAGAGCAGTACTGGGGCGCTTTTGCCACACAAGTGCTGATGTGGTTGCAAACACTGTTGGCCTGGAAAGTCATGATAGCTGATTCTGTTGAGGATGCAGGAGGGGGAGGGGACCGCTTAGATTTAGTGCTGAGCGGAGACTGGCTGCGCCATGTGCTGTGTGTACATTTCACACAGCCCCCAGATACGAAAGATGGAGGTGATTGGCGTATGAAGAAACACAATGTTCCACCTAATCTTATTCATCACTTCTCTGTATTTAGACATGGGATCACTATTAGCGAGATGTTTGTTTGTACTTATACAGAAAGTGCGGTTACAAGTACATTATGCTTGTAAAATGCAATCAAGATGAATCCTCCCTTCAAGTTTTTAAGCCTTCCTCTCTGCCCACAGTTGACCAACCTGAACCTGGCGAACAAGATGCTGAGCAGAGAGAGCTTCACACTGAACCCTAAAGCTGCTACAATCCAAGGACCAGTGAGAGCTGTTCACCCTGAAACAGATCTACCGAACAGCACTGGGTGAGTCCAAGGAAGTATAACTTACAATAATCTCCCCTTGGAATAATGGTTTGGATCCAACATGAGTTCTCAACAAAGAACTCTTAAAATCCAGATATCCAAGATGCTTTCTACTGCATTGTAAAGTCTGTATATGCACAGAATGTAAGCATAAATAAAGTCCCAGTACAGCAAAGGCCTCAAGCTAATTTAAGACGACCAGTAGATAGACAGCTGTATGGTTTCAACTTTGGGCATAAAACACTTGAGACAGCGTCAAACATGTAAGTAAAGTAACATTAACCAAAACCCTGACAGTGAAGCAGAAGAGGAGGTGAAGGAACAGGAGGAAGAACGAAAGGCTGATGGGCTCCCAAAGCTGAAGGCCAAACCTTTGGTGCACAGCGACTGGAATTTCATTTTAATACGACTCTGTTCTTTAAAAGAAAAATTGGTTTAGCCACATCTGAAAATTGCATTTGTTGGATATAGATGCACTGGAAAGCACACTTTATTTACATTTACTCTTCAGAATTGGTTCACAGATGCCTCTCTGTTAGCTCGCTTTTGCATTTAGCACATATGGTGTCTCTGCTACTTTGCAAAAGCTTCAGTGCTGCTTCTGGTCAAGTTTCACCATTGTGCTCATGTGTACTATTTATTTGCTCTCCCCTGAGGCAGCAGACACAGATTAGTGCATTACAGTCTCAGTGGGGTTCACTGCCAAGGTAAACAGCGTGTCCTTCCTTTGACAGACTTAAGTTTGAGATGTGCACAGATGTTGGAGTCAGGACACACAGAATCTAAGAATGCCTGAAGCATTCAAATTAATGTTTAACTTTCATGAATATTCTTTGCTATTCTCAAGATTAATGTTTGTAAAAGCTTCAGAAAAGCTGTTCAGTGTGACTCCCTTTGGCTAAACTACTGTCTTGGGGATTGTCTGCATAATCACTTTTATGCTATAATTACTATAAGTACTGTGCTTTAGTGTAGTATATACAGTAAGTATAAAGCCTGTTTGGTGAGGCTCATTACATTCTAAAGACTTTTTAAAGGCTTCTGACAATTTATTAGATTAAAGAAGTTTGTCTCTGGAAAGGGAATGAGAATTTCCAACACCCCTTTGGGCAGGCTAGTTTATCTGCAGGCAGGGAATTGGGTCTTTTGTTCCCCTTTTTAGCTGTGCTCCGTGGACATAAGTAGTTGTAGAATTGGCTGCTGAGTGTCGGCGTTATGTGGAGCACGCTGGCAGCTGAAAGCGTTCTGTTGGAGCGGTGCTGGAGGCAGTGGTACAATGTCAACACCCACAAAGTCTGTCTACTCAAGGCTCTCGCCTCAGTACCCACTGAAATTCCTCCTTCTTCACCCCGGCTCACTGCGCTGAGAATAGGAGGAAGGAAGGAGAAGGAAAATGATCGCATCATCATGGCTTATGGCACCAGACCAGGATTATAAACCTATAGGCAAAGAGGGGAAACCTTAAGTGTGTCATCTTCTTCTTTTATTTGCTTATGTGTGAGTGGCAGTGTCTCAGACTGCTTGGCCCTGATTTTGGACTCTGTTTTTCCAGTCCTGCCCTTCCTTATGTATGGAGCTGTCAGGGAATTCCTGGAATGTCTGGCCTTTTCCCTTTTAAAAATGTTTTTATTCCCACAAACTAAAAAGAGACTATTAATAGCTTATATCATTTTTACAGATAGATTCACAACAGAAATCACGCTTTGAGCGATGCAGTCCTCTGACGGATCAGAGTTACAGTGTGATTTCAGACATTGCATTTGCTTTTCCATATCATGTTTAAACACTTCATTCATCAGAAAATAAACTGGCCCACGATGCTCTTGCAAAAGAGATTCTAAGATTTAAAAATGTTTGTTCAGGTTTGCCTTTCAGCTATTCACATTTCAGAATTACACTTTCACAAATCTAAAGAGAGAAAATAAATTAGCGTTTACTTGCAATACAAAAAGCTCTTGAGGGCCCCGGAACACCGAGCCCTTGGTTAGGAATTATCTACATGAAATGTCTTTAATAAGATATTAGGATAAAATGTCTTGATTTCATCCCGACTCTGTTTCTTAAAACACAGAATTTCCTGAGCCCCCTCCCCCTACGTTCGGGCTCATGGCTTGTGCCAAACATACTGAAACTGTTAAGCGCACTGGCTCTTAAAGCAACCACAGGGGTGAAGTATGATGGGTTTCAAAGTGTAGCATGGCTCTTTGAAGTGCTGCTGCCAGGATCTGCCAGGTATGCTGCATCAGCACTCTTAGAGCTCCTGCCTAAATTCAGTGTGCTGACAGTCAGGGGGCTTTGAACCCATACGGCCCATCTTCATATACTTATGGGGTAAGTTGGTGATCTCTTCCGGTGTCGGACCTCCTGGTACATTTATGATAATTTACATTCAGTGTACCTATAAATTGAGGTGTTGGATTACTTTGAAATACTTGACACCTTTTACTTTGTTTAAAAGTATTTTCTGTTACTTAAGTTTGCTAATACCGCTTGTGGTCTGAGTTTGCACTGGACCTCCATGTGGTCATGTATTATTATTAAGTCAGCAGCTGGTCATGGTTGGTTCTCACCATTTGTGTTTGTTATGTGAATAGTTATTGCTGTCTTATTACCAGAGCCGCAAACGTTCCTCTCTGTTTTCTTCCCCTCTACGTTCATACCAGCTTTGTGTTTTGAGAAATGCCACAACCCTGCTTACACAAGGTATTTTTAGTCCTGTTCAATACTTTGTTAGATTGGTGTTTTACTTGGTTGAATTTTCTAGAGGCGAATGATTCCAAAGGGTTTTAAGGCGGTCCATTTTCTAAACCAACAGCTCGAGTAATCAGAAAAACGCTGGTGAAAATGTAAAAATTCTTTGATGGGGGACAGATTCCCACAAAATTGGTCTGATGTCTCTCTTCCTTTGAATTTAAAAGGAGAGATGTTTTTATTCACGTTGATTGAAACCAGATGTGGCAATGGGAAGGCAAACCCTTAAGGTAAGAACAAGTGAAATTCCAGGGAACAGATTTAGTCATTCAGCAGAAACATGCACCTTTAAAGCAGTTTTCATTCCCACAGTGTGCAATATGGTTATATGTACTGTATATAATCTGCTTTATGGAACTGACAAATGTGTGACCGTGAATTAGGGTTGGGTTGCACCAGCTATTTTTAAATCCATTGCAGGTTTGTGTGGAAAGCCCTTACTATTCGTCTTAGGATCACTAACAAGTATGAAGTTACTGCTCAAAATTTAACCTTTAAAGCTGGTAAATACTTCATATTCTTAGAACTACTGTCAACAATGTAAACAGGACATGCAATACAGAGCACTGAGTTTTAATATAATTTCTAAATAACATATATGTGTTTGAATGTTTGTGTGTGTCCCTTCCCTTGTCACAAGGACTTGCTGTAGCAGGTGGTTCCACATGTTTGATTTGGCCCTTCCTGACATAACTCCAGAGGGGATTTGTGTCTCAGGCTGGAATTCAACCAGTGACATTTTGCTTGCCAAGGGAATCTGTAAACTATGCTACTGAGTCACTAAAAACAAATAAACTAGTAGTAATTTCTAGATGTATGTGTTAGTTTGTTTTACATTAGACATGCAGGGAAAAATCTTTGTTGTGTGTGCAGGAAATGTTAATATCCATCGATGCATTGTAAAAAGCATGTAATTTTATTATTGATTACAGCAGAAATTCCTTTGTCGTTAGAAAACAACTCTCTGAACTCGACTTTACAAAGAGAATCAATTGGCTGCTTCTCTTTGTTATCAATCATAGTAATCTGAAGGTCTTAAGTTTTTGGATTACTGTTAAGACAAAATCATATGTTTTTTTATTTATAAAATAAAAATAATAAATGTATTCATTACAAAATATGCAGGGAAATTCATCATGATAGTATTTTTGGTTATTATGAAACAGGAGCATACTATTTCCATCAGGTAATATGTTGTGGTATCTTGGCCATCATATGTATGCTGCCATCAACCACTTTAGTTACAGTTTGCCTTTTGTCTTCAGATTTCTTCATGGCACAGATTTTACAAGCTGCTGGAAACATTCCTCAGAGATTTGGGTGTATGATAGCAGTTGGCTGCACATCCATGATGTGAATCTTCCATTTCACCATATCCCAAAGATGCTCTATTGGACTGAGATCTGGTGACTGTGGAGCACTTTTAAGACCAGTGAACACTGTCATGTTCAGGAACTCATTTTGAGATTATTTAAGTTTTGTGACATGCCGTGTTATCCTGGTGGAAAGGACCATTAGAGGATGGGTCCAATGTGGTCATAAAGGGATGGAAACGGTCAGCAACAACACCCAGGTGGGCTGTGGAGTTTTAGAAAATTCTCAATTGCTCCAAAGGGGTTCAGAACCTATCCTCCACCGTATTACACCATCACCACCAGCAGCTTAAACCACTGATACAAGACGAGATGGATTTCATTTTTTTTTTTACATCAATTTCTGTTATATTGTTTTCAGTAATTCAGGTGACCCTTAACCTCCCTTAGTTACACAACAATAGGCATAAGCTGCTGGGGGCTGGAGTATCATGGGGCTTGACCTTATAATATAAAGCACTTTGAGGTAACCGTTGTTATGATTTGGCGCTATATACTAGAGCAGGGCGATATGGCCAAAAATATTTATCACAATATATATTTGAAAATTTGCGATAACGATATAACCGACGATATAATTGATGCGAGACAAAATACAACTCCACAACATTACTAGCGCAAAAAGACAACCTTCCATTTATTTTCACTTAAACAAGAAGCTGGTTTTTATGTACATTAAAGCTTTATAAAAATGTAACAGTGCAAATGCAAATTCCTTGCTGAAAGTTTAACCAAAAGGCATTTCCAGTAGAAATGGGCTGACATATCCTGAGCATAACCATGTATAATATCCACTGAAGTTAAAAAGAGGTGCTTTGCAACATTAAACTGCAGTGTGCAGTACATATTTTTCGGACCATAAGGTGCACGGGATTA